AAACCAACGTCGGCTGCTCTTTCTGCGCTTCTGTCTCGGTCTTCTCGAGGCACCCTCGCCGGCACTGGATTCGCCATCGGCATCGGCCTCACTGTCATGTCCCTCGAACCGCGGTTCATCGAGTTCGGATGTGGGTGACAGCGGGCCATGGGGCGAGCCGTCATGGCCGCCAGACGAGCCAGCTCCCAAACCACTCGAACTTCGGCCATGTCCCTGAATTGGCGATGCCAGTGCCCTCAGCTTGCCCATCAACGAAGAGGCCTGTGTACTCCGCTCCCTGGCCCTACCATCACCTTCGTCAACCTCCCATGACTGTTGGCGCGAATTGGCTTGTGACGGGTCGGGCCCAAGTTGTGCGGAGCGTGCGAATTGGACGCTCTTTCGTTCTCGGGGTGCATCAGAGAGCTCGCCCTCGGTAGGGTGTCGTGACATGGGCGCAAATGGCGGGTAGTAGGAGCTGTTGGATGCGTTCGACATGTGTGACGAGGGCTTGGGGGCTCGAAGGGGAGGTTCAGCGTATTCGGGGGCAACGCTGCCGCCATTTGCATTGGCTGGCGCATTGAAGGGAAACTCTGAGGGTTCTTTGGGCGATAGGGGCGAGCCGGTTGGTGCGGAGCGCATTATTCTGGGGGCGGTGTCTGATGGAGAGGGATTGTGAAGGTCTTGGGTCTCGTTCCTGGGCTGCTGCATACCAGGCGGTGACAGCATTCGACCAGTCTCTTCTGTGCTCTTTGGGCCAGACGGCGACGTCGACCGCGGGCTCCGAGCCATGGGCGAGGCGTCCGAGGTGTGTGAGCCAGGCATGGTGGTGACACGGGGAGGAAGAGGTCGCGTGAGGCGAGGGGTTTGGGGATGGCTACTCGACGGGTAGTGTGTTAAACATGCATTTTAGATCGAAACGTGTTGACTTTCACTTGATGACGCTGGCGTGGTGACGATGCTACTGCCACCAGGGAAACAAGGCAAGCCGCCTTTTGATCAACGACTGTGTAATGTGTGGATTGGTGATCAGCTCCGGCCGAGAGAAGGGTACACGCGGCGCAGAGGAGATCAGTATCAGTTCACAGGGCCCTTGCACGGTGGAGTACTTTGGAATTAATCTCCCTGCTGCTTTCCGGGTGAACGGTCGCGCTAGTGCCAGCGACCGTGGTGTCAGGGGAGGGGGCTTTGGACCGCGCCGCCTTCCTGACCGCCCGCATCACGTGACTTGTACTCGTCCTCAGCCTCCGCTTGTGAAAGCACTGCATGCATGTGCCGCATACATTGGCACGCAAATGCCTTGCACCAGTCCCGCTCTACATCTAAACTCACCACTGATGCAAACATATCACGGGACTATCCTGGGGCGCAGTCAGTCTGCCAATGGCCCGTCGGCCATGTAGTCTTGTCTTATTTGGTGATGCCTCGGCCTTGGAAGGATCGTTCTTCCGTATTCCTCATCCGTACCTGCGTCATGGCCAAACATGGCCTTCCTATTGCTTCACCTATATCTTTTATCCTGATAGCCACCCGCCCTCCTATCCTTATCCCTGTCATTCTTAATCCACCATAAATCCTTATAAATCCCATGGCCGCAACTACAAACCCCCTCCATGGGACCCCGCGCTCTTCCCAGCGCCCCGTTTCCTCTCATACTTTCACCATTGCGGGCATCCTCGTCGACGTCCATGGCCTCGATGAAATACCTGCTTCAGCCTCTTCGGCCGCCTGCCTATGGCTCTTGAACCCGCGCTTGCAGACGAAAGAAACCATGGAGCCAATTGCCAACCGTGTCATCACAGAATGGAACAAGCGCATACAGGAGGGCCGCGCAGGCAAGAACCCCAAAGGCCTCATAGCCGCTGCGTTCGACCAGCGCAATCATGGCTCCCGCAAAGTCGATGAACTTCACAACCAAGCCTGGAGGGAAGGAAACGAGCGACATGCCCAAGATATGTTTGGCTGCTACCACGGCACCGCTACCGACACCTCGCAGCTCATCAACCACCTCGAGTCCTACATATTCACAGCCCCGGATGCCCCAAAGATCACACACCACTATGCTCTCGGTATCTCACTCGGCGGCCACGCAACCTGGCACTGTCTGTTAGGCGACCCACGCATCACTGCCGGCGTCGTAGGCATAGGTTGTCCAGACTACACCCGCCTCATGACCGACCGCGCACGTCTATCCAAGCGAGAGTCATACAAAAGAACCACACCGCCCGGCGCTGCCTTTTTCGGATCCCCTGATTTTCCACAGGCCCTGCAGGATGCCATTGCTCAGTATGATCCAGCGGGTCTAATGCTCCCAGGCACGTTCAACCCCATAGGTGATGACAAGCAACCAGACCAAGCACAATTGGATCGCATGAAGACTATTATGAGGGAGCGACTACAGGGAAAAAGTATACTGAACCTCAGTGGCAAGATTGACAAGCTGGTCCCATATGCAGCGGGCAAACCCTTTCTCAACCACTTCAAGCGCATCATTGCAGAGGATTCTAGCCTTGACATCTCATTTGAAGATGTCCTCTTCGATGGCGTTGGCCATGCATTCCCACAAGCCATGGCTGATAAGGCTGCAGACTGGCTCTGCGACACCCTGACAAAAGATGATGCTGGGCCTGTATCAAGTAAAATATAGAATCCTAGTGCAATAAAACCAACGAATATATCACATCTCCATTTTCTACACATGCACAGGTCACAAGAATATCACAAGTTCCATATAGTAAATGTCAGACGTTGAATTGCTTTTCACTTCCTGACATCATTAAATCCTCCCCACCACCACCACCAACCAGTCCAGTTACACCTCGTCCTCGTCCTCCTCATCGAACTCTGCATTCCCTATCATCCACCATGAATACCAAATCAATCTCTATCCATAACGCCAATTCCCATGACCTAACTCCCAAACCCAGAAATTAAGAAAATTTTGATCTTCATCCATGTACTGAATGTGTGTTCCTTTTCTTGAATCTCTGCATCCCACCACGTGCTCAAGTTAATGATGTGCGTACTCGTTGCCCAAAATATCTATTAGACAAACGATACGAAAGGACGCCTCAAGGACGTGAAGCCGGCGAAGGGCTCGAAGCCGCCAAGGTAGCCGAAGAAGCAGGACTAGAAGCCTGCTCCTTACCCTTGCCGTTGTTGCTGGCTCCCCGCTTCGTCGCAGGTGGAGTAGCATGACGAGCTTTGATGGTGGCAATCAAGTCTGGTACTACGACACCAATGTGGGGTGCGAGATTGACGCGCTTGTTGTGGTATTCGGTTTCGGCGTCGGCGGCACCAGCGAGGGCGGCTTTGTTTCGAATGTCAGCTTTGTACTTTGGGATCGATTTGAAGGCGAGGGTCGGTGGGGTAGTGGGGGAAATGTTACCTTGTTCTCGGGCCTTTATGTTGTTGAAGTATTCCTGGGACTGGTTAGGGTCCTTGGGATCGGAAGAGGATGCAGGGTGATCAAATACCACTGTGTTGTACAACATCTCGACCAGGACTTCATCGCCTGGGACTTTTTGCTCGCGGATAGTGGGAAGGGGTGGGGAGTACCGCATGCTTTGGAGGTATTCGAGGCTTCGAGGTACCTGGGCGGTTTGAGGGGTCTGTACACCTGGATTGGCGTAAGGATTCTGGTAGGGTGGAGTGCTCGGGCGGACTGGAGTGCTCGAGTACGACTGGGCGCTCAAGTCGGGTCGCAGACGATGAACAGGGTTGGTAGGCCCGTAGATTGGTGTAGGCTCGAGGATCCCTGGAGGTGAGGTACGAGACGGAAGTGGTTTGTATGGTTTAAAAACCTGAGGTACTGGTGTCGGTTCACTGAGAGCGCCTTCATACTGGAGCGATGATCCCTCGCCGTACTCTGAGCACTCCTCCATAGTAGCTGCGGGGTTGGGAGTGAGGTTAGTCTCGGGGGGTGACTCCTCACCTTTGTTGTGTATATCCTCCTCGTCGTCGCTCCTCAGCCAATTGAACTCGTCAATCTCCCTCAAGCCATCTTCCCAGGTGGGTGTATCAGGATCATTGGCGGGATAGCTGGGCGGGAACAGTGTGTTTGCGATACGGCTATCGTAGTAGGCGCTTCGAGCAGACGGGGCCCACTCCCAATTCTGCTCGCTACTCTGCTGTTGCTGGATACGTTCAGCCATGGTGTCGATGGCGAAAACAAGCCGTTGTTTAGAAAGTGGGTGAGATGTGCTGGAAGGCAACTGACCACTCATGTTTATGTACTGTGGGGGAAACTAACACAGAGTGAAGAGTGAAGAGCTAAATATGCAAAACAATCTCCCAAATTGGCTGTTTGCAAACGGTCTCCTGGTGAGTATGTGAGACCACAGTGCGGGTGTGAGCACAATAAGTTTCAGATATCCATGGTGACTGCAGTATTTTTCTCATTTCACCAGTCACTGTATGTCCACTTTGTCAGTCTGCATTTGATACGAGAGGATAGATTGCTGCATAGTAGAAGTGGCCAGCCGAAGACATGTACTTTCACAATGCTTGGAGTTGGCCTACAACAATTCGAATGATTCGGCGATATTGTCATGTCTCTTGTAGACAACGTGAGAACATTGTTGGCCCAGTGACCTGCTCGAATGCAAACAGATTCATCTACCAATGGGGGATTCTTGCTTCTCACTGTTGAAGCCAATGCTGTTAGAGCTAAAATGATGTCATGTGACTCAATTCATTCATCTTCTCCACTCACTAGCGCACCCCTCTTTGTAGGAGCAAGTGTGACCTTCCCCATACGCAGGGTTCATTCGAGGGTTTCTTTCCTTTTGTTAGAGACATCACATTCAGGAACTTGGTGGTTAGGATCCGATAGTAGAGTGAGAAATGAGTATTGTTTGGCTGATGGGTATCGTGTAAAAGCCGCTAGCTCGCCGTCCGTCCGCCAACGCTTGTTCAGCCAGAATGAGAGGAAAATATTAGAGAAGTTGGAAAGCTTCATAAAAAGAATTGATCAGGAGGAGCAAGTTCAACCGTAGAGTTGGGTCATCCATGAAATGTTTTCATATAGGTATGGCGTTGCTGATGGCATTTCCCGTGTCGACAGGCATTGCGAGTACGCTATTGTAATCAGTACCAAGTTTTCCAATAGATGCGTAGAATCTTACCTCTTGCCTGCATCGGTTGCACAGCAGCAGCACAGGAGCGATGCTGGCCAACAAACGATCTGAGGAGCGTAAGCGAATGGCCAAAGCTAGAGGAAGTTGCACTTACAGCCATGCCCACTGTGACGACGAATCCAATCGTAGGCCCGATGATCTTGCAGTGGCACGGGTTATCTTTTCTACGATTATTCAGTAAATGCAATTTGTGGTAATTAAATCGCATACTCACGTTCCGCACTGGATACAAAGCGGGATAGGCACAAAGTCGCACATGGTGAAGGTTGGCTAGAAGAAGGTGATAGGAACAAGACTAGCGGTTACTGAACTGGGTATGTGTATATATATCGTATGGGAAGAGAGTTCGAACAATGGAACAACGCTCAGAATGTGCAGAACAAAAGTGGGTGATGTTAGGGGAAGGCTGATGCTGCCATGATTAATGCTGCACTAGTGCCCACGTCATCTGCGTTGGGTCGCGATCGCCGGATACACGCGTCAGCCCCATGCCAAGTTCTTGCTTCAGCTTGCTGCATTCACGCACCGCCCTCTTCTCAAACATTCCTTGAATTTCCTATGTACATGACTGGGGACTCGAGCGCAGTGTAGCAAGATAGCTCTCGGATGCGCCTTGGTTTTGCGCATAATCCCGAATACTGGCCAATGCAGTCTTCCGGTGTTCCTAGACACAAGATAAGCCAACCTTTCCTTCACCGTCGCATCCGGGCAAAAGCAGACTACGGCTTACGACCAGGAAGCGCTGTTGTGCATATATCTCGACGGGCCGGTCCATGATCTCTCGTTTATCTGTATACATTTACGGGCCGGAGGATCTCATGGGTTCTCGGCAGGCAAACACCGAAGCAAGGAATCGTGCCGCGTGCCGTTAATCTTCTATTTCTTCGCGTACAAGTTCCAACTCTACCGTTCTTTGGCCTTGACGTATTTTTCCTTCTAGACCATTGTCGTATTTGTCAAAACATAACTTCCACAAGCCCGGATCATCTTCATTTTCCACCGCGATGAAACCTTCCCAGTTTTCGAAAAGATATCGCTTCTCCCCATTGGAGCAAATGCGAGCACCCCATGGCCCAACCAGCCCTTCTTCAGCCTCTACGCGCAGTCCATGGCTGAAGTGGAAGACTTCGGAGTCAGTGTCTAGATATATCCAATTCAACTGCGGAGGATTATCCGAAATGGTGGAGACAATGCCATCGAAGTTTGAATTTGGGAACGGGAGGTAGTAGCCAGAGAAGGGATGAAGATGCGGTCCTTGATATGTTGACAACTGAACATATAATCGGCCCCCGGAAAGTACTACATGGCTGTTCTTGAACATTTCTTTGCGGTCTTCCGGCGTTCTTTCGGTCGCTCGACATCGTATGTGGCATTTGTCATGCTTCCATTCTGAGCTGGGGCCGTCGCTATCTTTTCTTTCAGCTTGCTCTTGTAGCGTCAAGACAGACGACGCCGTCATAGGAATTGTTGCGACGAGGGATATGAGACCGAGAACCATTTTGAAATGCTGTATATGCAGCGGTTGATCATCTATCGAGTCTCGAGGGCAATGGGTTGGAAAGGCAAATATGCAGTCTCAAGTGCCAGCACAAAGGCCGGCACCACCGACTCCAAGAGCTGAACCATAACATGGCAAAAGCAATCGTGAACCAATCATATGCTATACGACCTGCATGCAGCTATGATGGGAATCATATGCGATCATGATGCAGATGTATATTTCCATGGATAAAGACCAATCACATCGTAGTCCACGGGTAGCTCCCGGCTCCCGCTCCACTTTTCGGCCACGATGATCGACGGGAACAACAAGAATTGCGGAAGCCAATGACGACCAAAAAGCCACCAAATGCTGATCATAAGAGCGATGCAAGCTGAGATTCTGCTTTGAGCAGCGCTTTAACCGTATTGGGAGTATACGCTGGCGACAACAGGACTAGTCTCGTGCTCTATGTACTCTGTGCATTAGAGCCTCAAAAGTGCTCGAATGGCTTACAATACCGAAACCACTCGAGCGCTCTCTCGCGCGAAGATCATGTCGCCGACTACCTGTACCGATTGTACAGCTCCTCGGAGACGAGCAAGCTTCAGCTAAGCCTATGAATTAGCTTCTATCCAGCCATGTTTATGAGTGGATGCACGCCCGCGTCAGTCGTCAGACACTACACCCTCATACTCCATCCAACTCACCAACAAACTTAAGAAGCGGTGGCGTGGACAGCCCAACTACCGCAGCGCACGAAACCAAAGCCAGAGTTTCGATTGAAGGCGCCCCCTCTATCCCCAGTCCTATCTCTTCCCACGCCCCCTCTTTCCCCCATACCACCGTCACCCCCCGTTTTCGAGCTTAAAATGGCGGATTCGACTACAAAAGAGTGCGTCTACTCACATTCCTCTCATTGTTCATACAGAAAGTACTGATGCATTCTCAGTCTCACAGGCACAGTCGGCAACGCAACCGGCGGCCGCGGCCTCCCGGACGTAGGCGAAACAATGGGCTCGGTAACCAACCCGGGGAACAAGACAAAGGGAAAGAAAGGAAAGGGGAAAGGGAATGAGGAGGGAGAGGATGAAGAAGGGTTTGGGCTGGATAATAATAAGGATGTCAAGGGGAGCTTGAAGATTCATATCAAATTGGATCTTGAGGCTGATATTAGAATTATTGCAAGGGTGAAGGGTGATATCGCGATTGGCATCTTGTAGTAATCCTTCTCAAACAATGTTTTTTATTTTTTTTCTTCCTCTTTTGTCTCATCGAGAATGCGAGTCGTTCCTCGAACAACGTCCTCCCATATACTGGGGGCATCTCGCACGTGAATACTTGGCCAGCGCGAACCCTGATTCAAGTACGTCTCTCGACTCTTACACGTCTCATTCAAGCAAAACTCCCAACTCTTAGTACCCTAGATTCATTATACCCCAGCTCGGGTCCTGATGTACCGAAATACCACGACAACCATCATGAGAATCCAGTTACCCATCAAAAGAAAAGATATCGCTTACTTACCACCTGTCTCCCTTACTCCCATGCCCCTTTAATCAACTCACTCTATCTACAAACTAATTACCTAGATCCTTCCATGTAATCATATTCACTATACCAAGAAAACCTGCAAACATTCACCACACCCACGTAAAGCGTACCCCCATCGATGCAACGCCCTTTTTACCAAGAGCCTCCTCCCATCTCCCCCCGGCTCCCCGGTATAACATCGGAGCCTCGGCACACTCCATCCGCAGTGGGGCCCCACAATGACATATGACCTGATTCGTGCATTCACTTCCGCATTTGTAGCTGCGTTCCCGGCAAGCGGTGCACGTGGCGAGCCTCGTGGGCTCGTATCGAGGGTCAAGCGGGTAGGGTGGTGGTGGTGGTGGTTACACTATGGTGCTGGGCGTTACTAGGTCATTTGAGTGGTTATATGTGTTTGGGGGAGGAATGGTGTAAGTGCGCGGGCCAGGCGGTTCTTTTGTAGGACTGATGTTGAAAGCGTGTTTTTTTTTAAATGTTGGAGGAGGGTCTGGGGATTTGGGGGGCCTGGGGTTGCTGCGTTGGTGAGTTTAGTTTATTGAGAGCCGCATGGCGAGCTGGGTGCATGTCGAAAGATGGCTATTGTGTTCATGGGAAATCACCAATAGAACGGGTGGGGGAGGATTTATAAAGTCGGAGATAGTGATTTGCTATCGGCTGGTATTGTGTACCAGGATACTGCTTGAGGCTAAATGCCTGTTCGAATGTCGTTGAGAGAACTTAGAGTGTCAAGGGTGCTGGGGGTTAAGTACCAGGATAATCCTTTTCCACGGACAGATGGACAGTCGTTTTGCAATCAATTCTGATCAAGGGCAATGAGGTATGTTGACATGTAAATCAATTACCACAGGAGACATGTAAGTCTATTGTTGGAATGCAATGCGCTGAGTGTACATCAGCTGGTTCTAGGCGTCATCTTCTTCACAGGTTTTTCCTTTGTCAAATATTGTTGTGCTCCAACTTTCACCTCGGTACTGACGTAAACTTTGGGGGTGAGCAAGGGTGCGTCATTCCGACCCTGGAAGACCCTCGTCGATGCACAAAAAGTCCCCGTGTTTGCATATTTGTACATGGAAAAGGGCCGTAACGAGATATTAGAGTTCACTACCCCAGGTGCGGCAACACGGCGGGCGACGGGCTACGGGCTACGGCTTTAACCCGCACGGTAAAGTATGTAAGTAAGACGATGATTTCCACCAACGCACTTTCAAACAGAACCGCTTGAACGAAGAACACATCCGATGGTCAGATGCCAAGCTGGTCAGGTCCCGCCCGCGGCTCTTAACACACACCGGCGTTGGTACCGAGTCGCAGTCGCCTGCGGCTCGGTCATATGCCGACATGCTCCATTCTTGTCCCACTTTGCTCCAGGCCATTCACCGCCGACTGGCCCACGAAGCCTTTAGGCCTGTAGCGGCTACTGAGATCGGCACATCCACCCCCTCCATTGGCTTGCACCATGTATCCGACAGGCGACCCCAGCCGACGTCATGCAGCCGGACGCTTGGTTGATACGGGGGCCCGTACCCCGCAAGACCGCTGCCATTTACCCCGGATAACCTTACATGGCGTTTTGCCATACTCCACAACGTCAACGGCGACAGGTTAATGCCAGTCCAAGGGCGTGGGCGCCTTCACTGTGGAGATCACTGCCCAACAAAGCATGCCGTTGTCCTAGTGCTTTTCGGGCTTTGATTCACCCGAGTGAATTTATAACATCTGCTGTGTCCCCCCAGGAAAAATGACCCATGTGCAACTGTCCATCGCATTGCTCACCCTCCTTTTTCGGCTTCCCGAATTGCCTAATTGAAGAAGAGAAAGAGTATCCCAGGGTTGTGCAATAGCCCTTTGCAGCGACCACAATGGCCGAAGACAAGGTCTCGGTTGAGCACAAGCGGGACGAAGATGTCGCCGAGAAGATATCGCACTCTTCCAAGTCTGGGGAGCTCGAGGCTCAGCCTACAGAGTACGATGAGGCAGAGGCTGCGCGCGTGTTACGAAAGGTCGATATAAGACTTGTGCCTATGCTGGCTTTGCTTTACCTCGTCGCTTTTATCGATCGTAGCAACAGTACGTATTGCGATTACACGCGTCATCTCCTTCACAATGTAACAAAAAACTAACACGCACCACAGTTGGTAACGCAAAGATTGCGGGTATGACAGACGACCTCAAAATGAACGGTCAACAATACAACACGGCCGTGACCCTCTTCTTCGTACCCTACACCCTGCTCGAAGTCCCTAGCAACATCGTCCTCAAGATGATGCGCCCCAGTTACTGGATGGCGATTCTGATGGGCTCCTGGGGTCTCGTCATGACACTCATGGGTCTGACATCAAGTTATGGCGGTCTCCTTGCTGGAAGATTCTTCTTGGGCGTCACAGAGGTAGGTTTTTGAAAGAAAAAACACCACTCTCAACTACAACATACTGACTTTTTTCACCTTCAGTCCGGTTTCTTCCCAGCAGCAACATTCCTCCTCACCCTCTGGTACCGCCGCTTCGAACTCCAGCGCCGCATGGCCGTCTTCTACGTCGCTGCCTCTCTCGCCGGCGCCTTCAGCGGTCTCCTCGCCTATGGTATTGAGAAACTCGACGGACGTTCTGGACTCGCTGGATGGCAGGTAAGCAATGCGAATCTCTAACCCAACCCCCCCTTTGTTCATTTTTTTCCTAACGCAAGAACAGTGGATTTTCCTACTCGAAGGCCTCATCCCCGTCGCCCTCGCCCTCGTCATCTGGAAAATCCTCCCCGATAGCCCCGAAACCGCAAAGTTCCTCACCCAGCCCGAGCGCGACTTGCTCGTTGCCCGTCTCTCAAACGACTCTGGTTCTGGCCAAGGTCAAACTACAAACAAGGATAAAATCGGTAAAGAACAGATTCTCGCCGGTCTGAGCGATTGGAAGATCTGGGCTGCTACGCTCGTGTTTTGGGGTAACACCGTTGGTGTCTATGGGTACGTTCTCCCCTTGCCCAAAAAGATTCCCAATCTCCCCATCTCTTCCCATGCAATACCCTGCTCTTCTCCTCCAAATTCGCTAACCCCCCCGCACAGCTTCACCGCCACTGTCCCCTCCGTCATCCAAGGCCTAGGCTACACCTCCGCCAACGCCCAACTCCTCACAATTCCCATCTACGTCTTCGCCGCCATCCTGACCCTCATCTTCGCCTGGGCCTCGGACCTCACCCGCAAGCGCTCCCCCTACATCATCGCCGGCTACTCCATCGCCATTGCAGGCTTCATCGCCCAACTCGCCATCCCCAAGCCAAAATACCCGGGTATAACCTACGGTTTCCTCTTCCCCGTCGCAGGCGGCCTCTACTGCCCATTCACCTGTCTTGTATCTTGGATCGGAAATTCGCTCGCGCCCTCGTCGAAGCGCGCGGTCGGTATGGCCCTGCTTATCTCCGTCGGCAACATGGGTGGTATCATGGGCAGTAATATCTACCTTGCCCGTGAGGCCCCCAAGTATCGCACGGGTTTTGCCGCCAGTTTGGCTATGTGCTGTTTGGCGATTATTATGACGTTTGTCCTGCGTTGGGCGTATTCGAGCGAGAATGCGAGGAGGGATGCGTTGATTGCGGCTGAGGGCGAGGATGCGATACGCGCGAGGTATAGTCCTGAGGAGCTGTTGTTGTTGGGCGATAAGAGTCCATTTTACCGGTATACTTTGTAAGAAAGGTTAGCAAGATGCGGGGAGTTGGAGTGTAGAGAGGTGGTTTATATATATATATATATATATGATTTTGATGACATACTACAATGGATGAAATTACTTTTGACTTCTCCTTTGTCGTTGAGAGATGGAATGGAATGTGGCTTTGCACTTGATCTGTTGAGGATACTTTATTAGTAGTGACAAGAAAGAAAGACAGAGACGGAACAAACTGATTCCAGACTCCCAAGTCAATTCAATAAAAAAAAAGCTAGAAGGAAAAAAATCCGGTTCCAACATAGTATCTCACAAGCTACCCCTGTCCACCTTCCACATCCACACTCTCCGCCAACCCCCCATCCTCATTCCTATCCCACTCACAAGCATCCACCCTCGTAGCCCTACAAGGAACACACGCACTGCCATCCCCAAGACTAAGGCAATCATCTACGCCCATGCCCCTCCTTTGACACGTCTTGCAAACCCTCAACTTCTTCCCCTTCTTAAGCTCATTCCTCCAACTCTCATCATCCATGATGCGGTAATTGATACCATTGAAGCGCCAAAAGTCGTTGCTGTCATACATGACCTCTTCCACCGGCAACTCCTCACCATACATGTACGGCGGAATGAAAGATCTGCCGCTGCGGAAGCACTCGCGCGAGACGATGAAGCGCGATCTGGGGCTGTAGGATTTGAGCATCGAGGCAATCTTGTATGTGGATGGGCGGTCGAAGAAGAGGGTGCTGAGAAGGTGGGATTGGTCGGCTGAGCTGGTCATTTCGACGAGCCGGAAGAAGGAGTGGTCTGAGAACTTGAGATGTAGGGTGAAATCGTCTGCTAGGGTGCGAGGCAGGCAGTCGGTTGTGAGCGAGGTGAGTGAGCGGAAGACGATTGCGGAGAGAGAGCGCAGGTCGTGCGCAGCGTTGTTGGAAATAGCCGCGTCGAACATTTTGAGGGATTTCAAGCCTAGAGGGAAACCGTCCATGCGGAGATAATAGTAGAGGTGTGACTCGAAGCCTAGTTCGAGATGCTCGAGGTTTACAAGCGAGCGTAGCTTTGCTGCGCCTTCTGGATCGGTTTCGCGGGGAGTCAGGTGACCAAGATGGCCTCCGCAATGTGTTAGGCGCCGTAGAGAGTCGGCTTGTCTTTGTAGTGCGGTTAGAAATAGCTTCGAAGATGTGCGGTTTTCTGAAACCATAGACGGTTGACATCCCTCAAAGGCGTGTAGTCGTTCACCGATCGATAGCTCCTTCAGAGCCTTTGGAAGACTCAGAACTGCATCTAGAAAAAACACATCGACGTTACATTCGATGAGTGTTAGTGACTGGAGCGGCGAAGTTTTGGCTTCCTTTTCAGAAACCTCAAACGGCACCCCGATTTTGTTGTCGAAGTTCAAACACGACAATGTAATGTTGCGTAATGTTGGATGTCTAAACATGGCTGTTGCCCGACCAAGAGTGAACTTGTTATCTCCTGAGCCATGCGCATGCAGTGTTACTATCGCGAGTCAGTCTCATTCTATTCATACCAGAGTCTAAACATACATGATTGTAGCATAGGCAACGCTCTTTGCATATCCATCCGCGGATACACGGCACTAGCCAATAAGTTTGAGTAATCAATCCTCGAGTACCCGTCGAAGTAGATATTGCCTTGCTGCCATTCTGAATTGTTTGGGCAAGGGCTCTCAATATGCAGGTGTCTCAACCTACTCATCAAGCCTACGAAGTGATTTAGTTCCTCTATCCCCTCGCGATATTCGTCCTGATATCGAATGGCAAGGCTTTGGATACAATCCGGTCGCTCGTCTCGGCCGTCAAGTGCTTTAGCAATCCTCCGTGCGTGTTCGCCTTTGAGCACCTGGAGATCACGCCAAATGTACGGCTCAACAAGACCCTGGAGTCTCGTACACGTCGCAGCAAGATTGCACAGTGCATCCCGGGCATTGATATGATCGATAATATTGAGAAGAAGTTCATCGACAAGCTGCAAAAGTCCGCTCTTTGCTGGCCCAAGCATAGTGATACCAGGTTCGTGGCGTGCTCTCCTAAAGGTATAACCCGAATGACGCGTTTTGCGTTTTTTGGCTCCAGCAAAAGATATGCTTGGCATTCAGCGATGTGCAGTCAAGATATCGGAGATGTGGAGATACTGGGATAATTCTGTAGGTTGCGATCGGATTAGCATCTGTGGCTGTATGAACGTTGATTGTTTGGGCCAACGAGGAAAGCCTTTGGATGATGTCAGATAACAGCTAGTCCCAAAAGGGCCATAAGTGGCACGTGAGCATAGTAGTGCATCGCTTAGTCTCTCGGTCGAACGAAATATTCGGATGGAGCTCCACAGACCATAATACGGTGGAACTAGGTTCTAGTATTATAGAGAGACATGTTTTCTGAGGCATTAATGTAGAAGTAAAGTATAGGATTTGTATTACAATCAAATAGCGTTTTGTGATTACATTCTAGTGAAGGCGGCTGAGTGTAAATGACAGCCTTGTTTGGCTAAGGACTGTTTTCATCTGAGTATTTCGGTCGACCCAAAGTTAAGGTGGGGGGCTCATAGTTTGTGCATTACCCACGCAGGATCAGTAAGCAGCAAAATTGCAAGTCATCAAGCACAAATAGCCTCGAAGAAGACGAGCTTTAATATTATATTGTCATGATAGATGAATTTAACAACACAACTAGTATATAGTAACCAAATCTAGACAGCAAGCGCAATACTTCTGGTGCGCACTGACAAGCTCTAAGTCGTGTACAGATACCCTGGGTTGTCTTCTCCCATTTCTTCAATTTCCTCCTCAGTCTTGCCCTCGATTCTCCAGTCTTCTTGACCAGAAAGCTTCCTCTTGTTCTTCATGCGCAGGTACAAATGCAATGACGTGTAGATGGTAATGCCTAGTGCCAGCAACCCAATAGTAGCACCGTATCCGGGCCGGTATGTAGGGGCCGTGCTACCTTTGTACAAGAACGGCGATGCAATACCAGCACAGTTTCCAATGGTGATTTGCATGCCACTGGCAAAAGCCCGCTTTCCGTATCGGGGGTTGTTGACAGCAACCCAGGAAAAGGCGAGTCCGGTTGCGACCCATAGACCGAGGGCTACGACAAAACAGCCGGCGAAACTCAGACCAAGGCCTTGGTTTGCAATGAGGAAAATGTATCCAAGCATGCTCACAGAGAGTCCGGCAATGCAGAAGAGACCTCTTTGCTGTGTCTTATCGCTGTAGTATGCTCCAGTGACGTAGGTTATGAAACCAACAACGTATACTGGAATCGTAAGGGCCTGAACCACTTGACGGGACCAGCCACCTCCAAGCCCATTGATGATGGTTGGGAGGAACACTGAGAAACTGTAGAGCATACCGAGTCCGACGAACTGAGCGACAGCAAAGGCATACACCTTCCAGTCCTTGATGCCCTTTATGACGTCTTCCTTTTGAAGCTCTTGACCCGATACCGTTTGGCCGACTTCCCTCATTCGCAGCCGTAGCAAGATTCGTCGGTCGTCTTCGGTCAGGAAAGTGGCGGTTTCCGGACTATTGGGGAGAATCCAAGGCACAGGAAGAGCGCTCACTACGGTAAGAATGCCAATGATTAGAATAACTGTGAAAGGTTGTGTTAACAGGCATCACGGAGTATGATTTTGGTACAGACGTACTCCATCGCCATCCTCTCCATCCAGCTGTACCGTCCATTTCGCCGATAGCGTAGGCGACCAGTCCCTGAAAACCATCAGAACAGTTGACACATATCTTGCAGATATTGTACTTACACCCAGTCCTCCGGCTATAGCAGAGGTACCGTAGAACAAAGCTTGCCTGAGAGACACGTTCCTTCTGTTGTAGAACATTGACAGGTAGAGTATAACTCCAGGAACTATAGACAAAGTAAGTGGGATGGGGACGTATGGATGTTGGACATGACTGATACTTACATAGTCCTGCTTCAAACATTCCTAGGAGAAGTCTGCAAGCGATCAAGGCAGCATAGTTGTTGACAAAAGCGGTAAAAGTGGACACTATTCCCCAGAGAAACATGAGTCCTGCGAGGTATCGTGCAGGTTTCATCCCTTTTCGTTGAGAACAAGAGCATTAGTATATGTTTACACGCAATTGGTGTACGCGACTCACTCTTGATGATCATGTTACTGGGCGTCTCGAAGAGCTATTGACGGTAAGCGTATGGAAATGAAGTCAACATTTGGCATGTGACTTACGACATAGGTAACGAACAAGATAGAGACTGCGAGCTGGAATTGATCGCTGGCTGGGTCCATGTTGAGATCTTCCTCCAAACCATAGAGACGAGCATTTCCAATATTGACTGATGGATTGTTAGAGGAGCCCCATTACAACCAGATCTGTACACACCTCGATCCATGAAATTCATCAAGTAAATCCAACATAGCATTGGCACAATGCGAACATCCAGCTTTCTCAGTACTCTCGCCTCAGTAGCCGCATCGATTTCGTCTTCCACCCCGGAACTTTCGATATCCTCAACCTTTGTGGGTGGAGTCATCGATGAGTCGGAGCCTTTTTCATCGATGAAGCCCGACGCTTGATGCGCCGTTTCTTGTGGTTGTGTAGCCATCTTTCTAACACAGCAAAGTAGTGCTGGAGGATTTAGGAGATGGAAAGAAGGCTGCGCCAGCAAAGAGGTTCTGGTGTAGCAATCGTCGACAGTATCACAGACTCGACCCAGACTTTATAATCCAGCCCCCCGGGATAGGCAGATCCAACCCCGTGGGGTAACGAGATATGCCACGGCCTTGGTATCGCACAGATACGCCGTTGGTCCATCAAGATTGCAAGGCAAAGAGCATTTTGAATCCCCATGTGGAAACTGCCGATGACCGTTCGACCGGCGTGGCGTGCTTGGAAATTCTACACGTTTGCATTTCCAAGCTTCAATCATTCTTGGACGGCTGACCGCGAGACGGCTTGGGCGCCATGGTTATCCGTCCAAGATTGCCAACCCCTTGGACTTCACGTGATGACGGCAGGATGAGGAGTAGATTGACCCCACAGATCAGAACCATTGCTGGGTCAGATACTTAGTTACATAACCCCCTACCCTCATTTGTGCTTTTCGGAGTACTAGGAGGACAATTTGTGTCTGGATAGAGGTCTGCGTTGAAGTGATGAAGTAAGATGCAAATTCCGTGCTTACCATATACTTCCTAGAAGCAGACTAGCAAAGATACTTTCCACAAAATCTCAGAAACTGTAATTTGCTACGACGTTAGATGAACAACAAGTATGCTACCCCCGGACACGATGTACACACCCTGTTAATACTGTTGTGATGATCAGTCCAAGACGCCAAATTCTTAGCCTACGTGAGTCCACATCTTGGCATGAGGCATGCACAAACAATACAAAGAGTCGACTTGGGGACTTTGACCCGGTTGTAGGGACAAACCTTTGATAGCGATGAGCGAATAGTTTGGGACTGTAAGAAAAAAGTGGAGATTGGGACCAACACAGCTCAAAGGTTCGCCATAACGCGTTACATAACGCGGTCATTGTGATGTTTGGCTGAGATGCTTGCCGAGCCGGGTCAGCCGGTGTATTACACAGTAGAACTGAGGCGTCCAGTACAAGAAGTGCTGATTCGCTGACCAAGAATCAGGACGCTTCGCCGACACAGTGTTTTGTGCTGGCTCTTGGGTGGATGCTTGGTTGCACTGCCTGCTATTACATCCTCGGGTCATAGCATGGATGTTGTGAGGGGCGGACAAATGGAAGTAACATTAGGCCAAGAGACTGGAGTGCGGCTGAGCACCTTGGCTGATAGGTATTTGATGGTCTCGCAGACGATTGTTGTTGGCGACACGGCTGAAGTTGGAATGTATGGTTAGTGGGAGAGGAGAGGAGAGAAGAGGCACGAAGGATGGATGCATCTGCTGCATTATTGCTTAGTCACCATACCTCGTTACTGCAACGATCTTATCTCGTTAAGCTGAAGATGAATTATCCACCTAGCTTTGCGCGATGGGATTTCTTACTAACTGAGTGCTTTTGTTGATTTACGCCCATGAGGAAGTAAGCTCTTCAATACTATGGACATACGCTACCAATACTGTTGATCCTTCTGGAACCATATCCAAAAATTTCAAAGAAAACCGTCCTGCTTCGATATCTCGCCATTGTCTTGGTTGAGGAATACATTGGTAAACTAAACAAAAAGCGGGGATTCGTGTTCGGTATGACAGGAACGTGGCTAGTTTGCTCTTAGACGAAGCTGTTCCTCACAACACAAACGGGCGCTGTGCAGAGCACGAGGATGGGCGCATTGTGTTTGCATTCAACGCGGTCCCGAGTGCATCCAAGCATCGGAGTCGTACCGTGTGTCGACTGTGGTTGCTGGAGATGGCGTGGGGCTGCCCCGCGAGTTTGCTACGGGTCCGGTAACGGCGGCGGCGACGGCGACGGCGGTCAGCTCAGCCATAGTAGGTAGCGTCACGCCTCCAACGACGCAGGGACTTTCAAAATGTGTAAATCTCGCCTTGACTCACACGGACGCGTTCAATTACAGGCAATGTGTTAAGAGACGGGCCTTTTCTTTCCTTCGTCAATTGACCTTTTCTTTTTTTTCGAAAAAATAAACCTCCGTTTCTTCTCACGCCGCTCTGCCCGCAGTGTGACTCGCAGCCAGACAGCCCACCATGGCGAGCAACGGCGGTGAGCCGACCAAGGTCAACATCCTGGGCAAAGACTCCATTGTTGTCGGCCATGACATATGGAGAGACTACATTGCCCAGGACTTGCTCCAGAATATTTCCTCGTCGACGTACGTCCTCATCACCGATACAAACATCGGCCCTCTTTACATCGAAACGTTCGAAACCGCCTTCCAAAATGCAAGCTCCTCGCTTCCCTCTCCACCACGTTTCCTCACCTACCAAATATCGCCCGGCGAGACTTCCAAGTCACGACACACAAAAGCTGCAGTAGAAGACTGGCTGCTTGCTCAGGGATGTGTGCGCGACACCGTCATAATAGCCCTTGGCGGTGGTGTCATTGGCGACATGATCGGCTACGTTGCAGCGACATACATGCGCGGCATAAAGTTTGTCAATGTCCCTACGACGCTTCTGTCAATGGTAGATTCGAGCATAGGCGGAAAGACAGCCATTGATGTGCCTGCAGGGAAAAACTTGGTTGGCGCTTTCTGGCAGCCAGAGAGAATCTACATTGACCTGCGCTTTCTCGAGTCGCTGCCCAAGCGCGAGGTCATCAACGGCATGGCCGAGGTCATCAAGACAGCCGCCATCTGGAACGAAGAGGAATTCACCACCCTCGAAGGCAATGCAGACGACATCTTGGCTGCCATTGATCAGAAGCCTGTAGACGGGCGCAGAAACTTTGACGAGATAGCAAGCATCCTCAAACGCATAGTGCTAGGCTCAGTCCGAGTAAAGGCCGAAGTCGTCTCTGCAGATGAGCGAGAAGGCGGTTTGCGCAACCTGCTGAACTTTGGCCACTCCATCGGCCATGCTTATGAGGCCATTCTCACCCCTCAGATTCTCCATGGCGAGTGCGTTGCGATAGGAATGGTCAAGGAAGCCGAGTTGGCACGTTATCTTGGCGTCCTGGATCCTTCTGCAGTCGCCCGCTTGACCAAATGCATTGCAAGCTACGGACTGCCTACATCGCTGGCCGACAAGACTGTGCGAAAACGGTCGGCGAACAAGCCATGCCCAGTTGATGACCTTATCAAGATCATGGCTGTAGACAAGAAGAATGCTGGTAAAACTAAGAAAATCGTGCTTCTCTCAGGCATCGGGAGGACCCATGAGAAAAAGGCTAGCTCTGTCGAGGACCGCAATATTAAGATCGCACTCTCACCAAGCATATCGGTGCACCCTGGCGTCCCGTCCGACCTGAACGTGACATGTACACCTCCTGGATCAAAGAGCATCTCCAACCGTGTCCTTGTACTTGCTGCGCTCGGAACGGGCTCGTGCCGCATTACCAACCTGCTACACTCAGATGACACGCAGGTGATGTTGGATGCGCTTGCAAAAATGCAGGGCGCAACCTTTGCATGGGAAAACGACGGCAAGGAGCTGGTAGTGACCGGAAACGGCGGTAACCTCAAGGCATCAAGCAACGAACTCTACCTGGGAAACGCTGGTACAGCAGCGCGTTTCTTGACCTCAGTGACTGCCCTTTGCCAGCCTACGGATGGCGTCACCTCGACTATTGTCACTGGTAATGCTCGTATGAAGGAGCGACCCATTGGTCCTCTTGTAAAATCGCTCCGCACTATGGGTGTTGAAATTGACTACCAGGAGAACGAAGGCAGCCTCCCGCTCCGAATCTCAGCCTGTGGCGGTTTCGGCTCTGATTCCTTCACAGGCGAAATCGAGCTTACCGCAAATGTGTCTTCACAATACGTCTCTTCAATCCTGTTGAGTGCCCCATACTCTAAGAAGCCCGTTACACTCCGCCTGGTTGGTGGCAAGGTCATCTCACAGCCATACATCGACATGACTATTGCGATGATGGCTTCTTTCGGAGTGCAGGTTGAACGATCCGAGAGCGACCCCAACACCTATCACATTCCCAACAAGCCATACACCAACCCATCGGAATATGAGGTTGAAAGCGATGCTAGCTCAGCTACTTACCCGCTCGCTATCGCAGCCATCACCGGCACCACGTGCACAGTTCCCAATATCGGTTCTGGCTCCTTGCAAGGTGATGCTCGATTCGCCGTCGAGGTCCTGAAGCCCATGGGCTGCACTGTTGAACAGTCCAAGACATCGACAACTGTCACCGGCCCACCACGCGGTCAACTCAAGGCTGTCAAGGAAATCGACATGGAGCCAATGACGGATGCATTCCTCACAGCATCTGTTCTAGCTGCGGTAGCATCTTCAAACGGCTCTAGTGTCACTACCCGCATCTATGGTATCGCGAACCAGCGTGTCAAGGAGTGCAATCGTATCCAAGCCATGGAAGACGAGTTGGCCAAATTTGGCGTGACTTGCAGACAGTTTGACGATGGTATTGAGGTTGATGGAAAGGCCTACGAGCTTGATGCCCCCAAGGTTGGCATTCACTGTTACGATGATCATCGTGTTGCCATGAGCTTTGCCGTTCTCTCATTAGTTGCACCTGCGCCTGTGCTCATTCTCGAAAAAGAGTGCACAGGAAAGACATGGCCAGGGTACTGGGATAGCCTGAACCAGGTCTTCAAAGCCAAGCTCGAGGGTGTAGAGCTGGCGCCAAAGACCAGCACACGCAAGGCTGCGTCAAAGGTCTATCAGCGATCCATCTTCGTCATCGGGATGCGAGGCGCTGGTAAGACAACCATGGGTAGCTGGGCGGCACGCGCTCTTGGATGGCCTTTGATCGATCTGGACACCGCTCTTGAGCAACATGTTGGCATGACGATTCCCGAACTCATCAAGGAGCAAGGCTGGGAAGGCTTCCGAAGCGCAGAGCTTAAACTCTTGGAGAGGGTTGGTAAAGAGAAGCCCAACGGACATGTCTTCGCTTGTGGTGGGGGGATAGTCGAGACACCAGCGGCTCGCAAGCTACTCATCGACTACCACAAGAGCGGCGGTATCGTTCTTCTGATCTCACGAGACATCAACAAGGTCATCTCTTTTCTTCAGATTGATAAGACAAGGCCAGCATACGTCGACGACATTATGGGCGTCTGGCTTCGACGTAAGGGTTGGTACGAAGAATGCAGCAACTACCGCTTTCATAGCCAGGCTGCTGGGCTGAACGATGTCCCTCAAGCACAGGCAGAGATGGCACGTTTCCTAAACGTAATCACAGGCAGGGTATCAGTTTTGGAGGGGTTCAAGAAGAGAAAGCACTCTTTCTTTGTCTGCCTTTCTGCGCCGCGACTCGAGTCTTGGATCAAAACGCTACCTGCAATCGTAGTCGGTTCGGATGCTGTCGAGCTGAGGATTGATCTGCTTGAGGATCCGGAAGGTCAACCAGGCCTACCAACACCAGACTTTGTCATTGAGCAACTCACCATTCTACGCACAGTCACCTCGATTCCAGTCATCTTTACTTTGAGAACACAGGCGCAGGGTGGTAAATTCCCGGACAGAGCATATGACGAGGCTCTTACACTTTATCGAACGGCATTGCGACTGGGATGTGAGTTTGTTGACCTGGAGTTGACCATGCCCGAGCATGTGCTACAGGAGATATCGGAGAATCGCGGTTTCTCCGAGATCATCGCAAGTCATCATGACCCGAAGGGCGAGTTGAACTGGAAGAACGGCTCTTGGATATCACAGTACAACCGTGCCCTCCAGTACGGTACTGTTATTAAGCTGGTCGGCGTCGCCAAGTCGCTGGAAGACAACTTTGCGCTCGCCGAGTTCAAGAGCTGGGCGCAAACAGCCCATCCTACGCCTTTGATTGCCATAAACATGGGAGAAAAGGGCAAGATGAGCAGGATATTGAACGGCTTCATGACTCCTGTATCGCACCCTCAGCTTCCTTCTGCAACTGCACCAGGACAGCTTTCAGCGGTAGATATTCGTCGTGGCCTTTCTTTGATGGGTGAGATTCCGACAAAGCAGTTTTACATTTTCGGTTCTCCCATTGCGCAAAGTCCCAGCCCACGTCTGCACAACACTCTCTTCCGTGAGACTGGACTGCCTCACATCTACAGTCGCCACGAGACCACAGATGTAAACTCGTTCCGCGACATCATCCGCACACCGGATTTTGGCGGTGCCAGTGTCACTATTCCTCTAAAGCAGGACGTCATACCTCTGCTTGACGGAGTCGGCCCAGAGGTGGAAGTAATTGGCGCCGTCAACACTATCGTTCCCGAAGTCTCCATCGACGAGACTACCGGCAAGGAGGTAACCCGGCTCATTGGCCGCAACACAGACTACCTAGGCATGGTCCTCATCCTACGCAATGCCGGTGCCCAAGGAAGCGGCTCTGCCCTCGTCATCGGTGGTGGTGGCACAAGCCGCGCAGCCATCTACGCCCTGAAAGAAATGGGCTACAGTCCCATCTACCTCCTCGGCCGCAACCCCGCCAAGATGGAAACTCTCAAGAACGCCTTTTCAGCAGAATACAATGTCCACGTCTTGAACTCGCCAGATGACGTCGCCGCCCTCGACGCCGCGCCTCAGGCCGCTATCGGCACTATTCCCGCCGACCAACCCATCGATATTGCCATCCGCGAGACGCTGTGCTCGCTGTTTGAAAAGGGTAAGGCGTCGGTTAGGGATATCGATGTGGGAGGTGAGAGGATTCTGCTTGAGATGGCGTACAAACCATCTGTTACTGCACTTATCCAGCTTGCCATGGACAACGGGTGGAAGACGGTGAATGGGCTTGAGGTTTTGGTTGGGCAGGGTGTGAATCAGTTTGAGTACTGGACCGGCGTAAGGCCATTGTATGAGGTTGCGAGGGTAAGCTGTGTGCTTGTTTGATTATGATGATGAGTAGGGCTAACGCGAAGCAGGATGCTGTTATTAACCAGACGGATTGAGTGATGTGTTTGACGAAGTTTTCGCGTGCCGATGGGGAGTAGGATTAACGGTGTACTGATGATGTTGTATTCTGACATGCTCAACAATAAAAGTAACTACGACACTAACGAATAAAACGTTTACATGTTACATCATTTGACAATGTATCTGCTTGTGATGTTCTCTTAAATACAATAGTTACACCAACCCAAAAGCAAAAGAAATAAAATTTATACAATTGAAAAACATGACCACCCTCTCCCATAATGAATCTCTCAAACTCCAACAAACCATCCCACCCAAATGTGTATACAAGTTGAAAGGAAAGCGCCCCTTCCATACCACCCCAGTTATCCTCCCTCATCCCTCCAACGCCCCCTAAACCACCCAACTCCCGATTCTCCCTTTTCTTCCCTGCACCGAGAACAACAACAACAACAACAACAACAATAACCTCAACCCCTCACACCCCTTCTCCCCTTCCTCGCCTCCAACAAATCCCGAACCCGATTCCCACCAGCCGTAACAACAACGCCCCTCGCCGCATCCTCTGCAATCTTCTCATCAATCGCCCTGTCGAGGCTGTGCAGGATAGTTTTGCTGGGTGTGCGGAGGGCATTGCGGTCGGTATCTTGCGGAGCCAGATACTGTTCTGTATGCTGTTGTTCGGATGAGGAAGAAGAAGAAGAAGGGGCGGGAACGGGGATGAATAGGGTTGCGGGACGGCGGCGGCGGGGTCGGGTTGGGGATGCGAGTGAGGGTAAAGGGGGAGTTGGGGCGGGGAGGAGGAAGAGGGTTGGGGGAGTTGTGGAGGGGGTTGTGGATTCTTGCTGCACTACTACTACTACCACTTTTTTCTCTGGCGATGTTGGAGAGGTTGCCTTTTGGAACTTTGTGGGTGAGCGTCTGGGTAGAGTTGCAGCACTGTTGTCTGTGCGTGTGGATGCCAATGGTATTTTTTTGGGCGATACTAGGGAGAGAGGACGTGGAGGCTTAGGGGTTGAGGGTTTTTGTTTTAGAGTTGGGATGGAGGCGAGTTTGGGGGGAATGTGGAGGGATAAGGGGCGTTTGGGAGGCGGAGGGGTGGCGAAGGGACTTTCGAGTTTCCAGGGGGAGGTGGAGGGAAGGCGGGTGGTGGGTTGCTTGGTTGAGGTGCGGGTGAGGCGGGGGAGGGTTGAGGCGGTTTTGATAGGTGTGGTGATGGATTTTGTGGGTTTGTGGGATATTGTGCTTGCTGGGCCTTTTGTCTTGCTCGGACTTGCGCTTTTGAGATTTGGTGACTCGGTTGCGGTGGGACGATTATCCTTTGTCTGGCCTGATAGGTATCCGATAGACTGACACCGCGGTATTGTGGACTTGCTAGGGAGCTTTGTCAAGGCCACCTTGTTTGGAGAGTTTGTCTTGATTCTTGGCAGGGACGACATGTTGTAGTTGAACTTTTTGAGTGTTGTAGACCTTCCAACTGTACCTGAGGTACTCGCATCTTGTTGGTCTGTGGGTTCGCTGTTCGGTATCGGGAGCAACTCGCTCAAGTTGACAGGTTTGCAGAGTGCCGGGATTGGGATGCTCGAAGTCGTCTTTGCGTTGTCCGTGTCTTTCTCCAGCTCCAATGATATGCTAAGATTCGTCTCTACGTGTTCGTCCTGGCTAGCAGTTTGTGTCTCTGAATTCTCCAGGGTATCCTCGTTCGCATCACTCCACTCAATTTGCTTCCCAGAATCCGCCCTCATGTCGCGTTGTCGTTTCGTATTCGGACAATAAGAAGACGAATATTGAGATGCCTGTGATTCTTGTGTCTTGTCGGCAAAACAATCCATGCCAGACTCCGATAGGAGTTGAGTGGGCTGCGCCTCAGGTGACGTATTGACAATCTGTTCCAGCCCCTGCAAAGGCAGAATTGAGGACAACTCCTTCTCAAAGTTGAGTCTGGCAGCCACATCCGGTACACATGGAGCATCATCTTCCGAGATTCTCTCATAAGAACCTGACCCCACCAGCTGAAGCTTTTCCGAAGCCTTGCGTAACGGGGTAGGCGTAGGCGAAGCAAGGTTCCTTTCCACACACGGGGAAAATGGCCAGTCGAAAGCCGGACTAGTGTTGTTGCTTCCGAAGTTCGCCGTGAGATCACCAATGTTCTTCGGCTGCAAGTTCACCGGCTTTCGTGTCTTCTTGATTGGCGTAAAGTATTCGCTCGGGTTGGGGATAGCTCGTCTGACGGGTATCGCTGCTGAGTCGTCGTCCATGGTAGCGTCTGCTAGACACCCTGAGAGCATACGGAGCAAGTGATTGGGATGTGATACTAGATTTCTGGCCAGATCCGGGCTCATATCGACAGATGAGGTGGGCGAGTCTAGCTCAATCGTGCGCTTCACTGGACTGCAAGGCCGTTCGTGGTTGGGTGTTTCCGGTCTGCCCTTTTTCAAAGGAGTCCCGAACGTGGACTTATCAGAACCCTGCTCTCTGGTGCTCCTGTTTCTCGAAAGATCCGACGGCTTTTTTGTTGGAGATCCGGTTCGAAAGTCGTGTTTTGGGGCGGTGGCTTTTGGTGGCGTACTGACAGCGGCTTTCGCAGGGCTCGGCTTCATGGTGATCATCATTTTCAGGGGACTGGTTGACCGCATTTTCGTGGGCGTCGTCAATTCTTTTGCGTTCTCCGCCGTACTGTCCCTGACCCCAGTTGCATCCTTCTTTGGCGAGACCCTACTAGATGAACAATTCATTGGAGGGCGAAAGATGTTCTTCCCTACTTCCAAATCGGCTGGCAATGGGTTATTTCGAACTCTAACAACTATCCTGTGCCCTCCAGTAGGTGTCCGAGGCTGTGGTGTTGCAGACATTGTCGTTTCACGTAGGAATCGTTCGCGAACCAGAGGTGACCTCAGGCTCGACGCCGCGGGACGGGCGCGCTTTTGAGGTGAGAAATACGCACTGTTCTCCGCGGCCAACGGGTCTGTGTTCTCATCTGGTGCGGGGTCTGCTATCGATGTTTGTGCTGTAATCAAGGCCATAGCTGCTCTTGTTGGGACAACCCCCAGAGCAGAGGTTCATATGAATGGGAGCGGTCATCAAGCGGTCTGTTTTTCAACTAGATTGAGCATAGACCGCCGGTGAGGCCAAATGATGCCTTTGACAGAGTGATCGGAGGGGTTCGAGGGTTCAGTAAACGGCTGTGGCGCTTGTTTGGCCTCAACATGTGTAACAAGCAAACATAGACCCACTTGCGTCACCGTGGAACAAGGGAACCTATGCACGAACTATTGTTTCGGCATTCAAAAATAAACAAACATGTCCTGAGAATTGGTAGATTTGATTTCTACATGGGAATAAGCACTCATCCGTCTATATGCACTCAACATTGGATACGTAGGGTGATCACTCAACCAGGATATCTTGTCCTTGGCCTGCTCCTTGCGTCTATAGCTTTCCCTTCAAACTCGACTTGAGCCTTCGTTCCACTGCGTCCAGGTACTCGTTGGTTGTGACCCAGCTAGCCCTATCCTTCTTTCCGCACGCTAGCGCCAGATCCTTGGTCATGATCTTGTCAACATCGACCGTGTCGATGCAAGCCTTCTCGAGCGTCTCGGCAAAGACGACAAGTTCAGGGGTGTTGTCGAGCTCGCCACGCTTGGCCAGACCTTGTGTCCAGGCAAAGATGGAGGCAATGGGGTTAGTAGATGTCTCCTTGCCCTTTTGGTGCTCGCGGTAGTGGCGGGTAACGGTACCGTGCGCGGCCTCAGCCTCGAACGTCTTGCCGTCGGGGGTGATGAGTGTGGAAGTCATGAGACCAAGAGAGCCGAAACCCTGAGCGACAATGTCAGATTGGACGTCTCCGTCGTAGTCTGGTGGGGGTTGTTAGCAGATATCCCAGGGTCATGCAGGGCAAATACGTACTCTTCATGGCAATAACGTAGCCACCCTCGCTCTTGATCATCTGAGCGACCATGTCGTCAATCAGACGGTGCTCGTACCAGATCTTGGCGGCCTCAAAGTCCTTCTTATACTGGGTGTCGTAGATTTCTTGGAAAACATCCTTGAACTTTCCGTCGTAGGCTTTAAGAATGGTGTTCTTAGTGCTCATGTACAGAGGCAGCTTCTTGTCGAGCGCCATCTTGAACGAGGCATGTGCGAAGCCCGAGATGGACTCGGTTGTGTTGTACTGGGTCTGAGCGACACCACCCTCTGCAGGGAAGTCGTAGACCTTGATCACCTCGGGCTTGCCGCCCTTTGGTGTGAAGACCATTTCCAAGGTACCCTCACCGGGGATGACACGGTCCTTGGCGCGGTACTGGTCGCCGAAAGCGTGACGGCCAATGATGATGGGCTGCTTCCATCCAGGGACGAGACGAGGGATGGTGGGGATAACAATGGGTGCGCGGAAGACGGTTCCTCCTCTAATGTGCTGTTAGCGAGTTTTGGGGCAATTCGTTGCAAACATGTGACCTACAGATGGTTTCGAATGGTGCCATTGGGCGACAACCACATCTTCTTGAGCTTGAATTCTTCTACACGCTGCTCGTCTGGAGTAATGGTTGCGCACTTGACACCAACTGAGTACTTTTTGATGGCCTCGGCGGCATCGAGCGTGACTTGGTCGTCGGTCTCATCACGGTATGGCAGGCCCAGGTCGTAGTACTTGAGGTCAATGTCGAGGTAAGGGTGGATAAACTGCAGTGGTAAGTATGGTGGGCGCGCATTTTGATTTTCCGTGGTGTTGGTAGTACCTTGTCCTTGATGACCTGCCAGATGATCCTGGTCATCTCATCACCGTCGAGCTCCACGACGGGGTTTTTGACCTTGATCTTCTGGACTGAGGAGGAGGACGCCATTCTGTGCTGTGCGACGAGAGTGTATAGGCTGGCGGGAGTTGTCCTGGCAGTGATTGTTGCTGGTCGTCGCGGGCTCAAAAGTTGGGCCGATGTCGCAGGCGAGTGAGAAGCTAAACAGCGAGTTGCAAAAGCACAAGTCTGGCGACGGGAGGGATGGGCAATTGAAGATGCATGGCGGATAGCCGCGGGGGCAGCAATTGCCGGCCTCATTGCGAATGATGTGTAGAACAAGAAGATAGCCTCGGAATTGCAGCTGCCAGCGCGTTTCAGAAGGTGGTGGTTTCCGGCCGCGGTCTCGAATGGGCAGTCAGAAGGGCGACGATGTTCGGCTGATGGGACGAGCAGCTCTTGCTTAGTCGAAGAGTCGCCTAGCGGGATAACCAGAGCCGAGGGCCACAGCAAGCCGTCGTGCGCTCGTCGCAGAGGCCCAGAGCCCGCTTACATAGTGCCTGGAAACAAGAGGCCCCACGGCTAATACCCCTCTGTCGCATTGCCATTGATTGCGCGGTTTTGATTGCCGTTGCGCGCGGCATGTCATTCAGCGTCGCATGTCACGCGGGGTAGTCCTACATGAAGCTTGGTATGACGCGGGCGGGTGTACGCGGGACCGGGCCCGACATGTCATGGTAAGTAGCACGAGTATGGTAGTAGCAGTGGCAATGGAGTAGTGGTAGATGAACTAGATAATCGCTCCGAGCACCTGTCTGTAACGTGCATACCAAACAAGACCCTTCTCCGCACAATGCGGGGCGTCGCCGTGGTATATGTACGTTCGCATGTATGCACATACACTGCTTGCCTTGTGCCCTGCATCCGGAACCCCTCATCCCGTTTGCGGGCGGGGAAAGTCGAGTAACCCTATCGGACTACTCTTTGTAGGCTTCGGGGCTGCAGTGAAGGACCATGGCAGCCAGATGAACACGTCTTTTTCCTGTCGTCATGTTATACATACTGAACATGTAGGGTGGAAGACACTGACTATACTGGTACTGGAACAAGATTGTATTACATTACGGTCCCATCTCTGCCATTACTACGACTACCTCAAAAAAGAATATCCACAAAAGAAAAGGGGTATCTTTATCATTAGCATCACAGTCGTCACGCCCGGGAGGCATTCCCCCCGCATTCATCCCATCACCCGCGATCTTGCCCTTGCATCCGTCGCATCCCTCCCTTTGTCCGCCGTCACTTCCCCGCCGCCATTTCCCGGCCTATCCTTGCGCCCACCCTCGTCATCCGTCTTCGTGGTCGAGTAACTCGGCACCGGACTGCTTGGCCTCCGAAACAAGCTCGTCACACTATTCGCGCTTGTCCGCTTCGACGAAACAGTCATGTGCGCCATAGACGGCGAGGAAATCGGACGGCCATCAATGTAGAAGCCGCCGTTTCCATCTTGTATAATGGTCTGCGGAACAGCCATGAAGTTGTTGCTTTGTTGAATGTGATTATACGAAACTGGTCGTGCGTCCAGTTTGTCGACTAGACCCGATTCCAGGTCAAAAATCCCGACGCCGTCATTAGTGCTGCGCAAAACTACTGGCGCAAAGTCCTGAAGCCCAATTGCTTCTTCCATCAAATCTATTCTGGCGTCTTCGGATTGGTGGCTCTTCTTGGGTGGAATCACCTCGGTCGACATCACCAGACTCGTGCTTCGTCGCGTTCGGCTTGGGTTGGTGCTGGTGGCATAAGTGCGATTGGTCGTGCCCATCTGCTGATTCAGTAGCTGTGTTGTTGTGCGGCCTCTTGCTGTGCGAGACGAATGATAAGTCCACGCCGGAGGAGGAGACGCGTCAAACTGCCCAACCTCAAAGAATTCCCTCACGACATTCCATGTAAAGGGTAAATTGGCCACCAGGATCGCTGTCGACGACTCCCGAACATACCACGAGATCCATGTCGCCTTGTATGGATGGGTAAAGGACGAGTAGGCGTTTGCGATACTGGCAATCACGACAAAGAGTCCCAGAGAAAAGATGCCGCATAGGATAATCTTCCTCTTCATCGGCAGTAGCGATCGCACAAGCATCGGCAACGAGATGAAAAGCATGCTCAAGTCCGAAGATATACTGAAGACTGCTTTCGTGATGCGGTGGTTAATTAGCGTCGTACACTGCAGCGAGGTGGTTGGCACCGCGTAGTATGCGGAAAACGGACGACACCAGGCTGAAAAGTAGAGAACCTCTATGACGACAAACCCAATCGCGGTATATACGGCCAGAACCTTGATCGCAATGTTCTCATAGTGAAGCGCCGTCCGTGTTATGCGGTGGTACATGATCAAAAGACAGGCCTTGCATGACCAGAGCACTGCAATCTGCATCTGCTCTACCACAACTACCAACTTACTTCCATACACCCTTCTCGATAGCTCTTCAGGGCTGAGAGCGCCAAAGTCAAATCCTGGGGGTTCCAGGTTCGAGTGGACTTTTAACCATCTGTTGGAAAACACGAGCAAGACGGTGTAGGCGGCCGTGACAAAGAGGCCCATGATATAATCATCGAATTGGAGCCCTTTGATGGATCGAAATAGGATTTTGCGAGAGATACTGATGCATATCGGTCAGTCGTTGCATACCAGTATTGTGACGTGTTGTGCGAGTTGCAATTAAACATAGATCGACCACGCTAGGAACTCCGAGGCCATATGTCGGCGCACCCGAGCAGAAGCCACCCCCAGCCGTGTTGCTAATGCGGAAAGTTTATTTCCGTTTTCTCGGACATTTATTCAATGTCCCGTGACTACTACCCCAATGTCATGAAACGGAAGAGAGAAAAAAAGCCACTTACAGCCTCGCTCCGATCATGCAAACCGCGCATGTGTACCAGATCCATGATTCCTGGTTGAACGGCAATGTCATCGTCGGTTTGAAAAAGGGCGCTTCAAGTGGCTGAGCGCAAATGGTATATCGCTATCCGCCGGGTTGTTTGAACGTGGGAGGACGTATCGGTTGTCGTGAGGTCATAGTGGGCTCTGGTTCGATGAGTAGTGCATCGCATGTACTACAAATATTCTTGTAGTCGGCGCAAAGAACAGCTGGCAAGAGAGAGTGGTGATATTACGCAACGTTCTGGACAAGAATAAAAAAGGAAAGACAGAGAGAGAGAGGTGAGAGGGAGAGCAAGTGCTGACGACTGGCAGATGTAGAAGCGCGGTGAGGGGCTTAGGCCTTATAGCACATGACTGCATGGCAATACTCGATTTGCTCGATTTGATCGTGGTAGGGGAAACCTTACAGCCACTCGTATGCTCACCCATGGCTTATCTGGATCACCTTTGCAAACACGCCAGAAGTTCGGAAATCTTGGTGGGGGATTGCCGTGGATTAACTTCCGGCCATCCTTGCGACCAATCAGCCATGCGCAGTCGTGCCAATATCCCGCTCATTCCTTTTATGCGCCTCTTGGCTCCTCCCGCCCATATCTTCCACTCCGCATCCACGCTGTTTTGAAACTCGCTAGGTCGACGCGATTGGCTTGCTCCAAAACCATGCCATACCTGCAAGGCGCCCTCAATTGGCGTGATGTTGGCTGACTCGAATCGATCCCGCAGTCAAGCCATGGATGGCGTGGCCAGCGACAGCATTGGAGCCCGCAGTCTGAGCTGAGGCGGCTGCGCCCGTGACAACGCTACAACAGCCTGATATCTGCACTGCTGGCTGCGGCGCAAAGGTAAAAAAACAGCCAGCATTGGTGGTTCCAGTCCACAGGCTTACCAGGGGGTAGGCATGACAACAAATGTGTATCGGAAGGTGGCGGGATTTTTGGCTTTCCAAACCTGAAGCCTGTGAAAGGAGGTCGACGTCCCCATCGGCCGCTATCCTCCTTCAACCTGCCTTCGGGCCGTTTCTCACAACCCGCGCATGCCATTCCCTCGCACAATAGGCACACTAGCTAACGTTTTCCTGGTTTCAGACACTGCCTTTGCGCAGATCGCACCGGCTTGTCCTTGTGCTCCCACGTCCCCCCTGTCCCCTTTTGTCCCATACATGCCACCCTACTGCTACATTGTGCTTACACTTCTAGATTAGAAAGAATAAGGCCTGGGCTAGGCCGCAACAACATTCTCCGCAGGAATGGTAGCCTTGTCGGCCAATATTGTTCCAACGCCAGCGACATGCGACTCTCTGCCAACCAAGGCAATCCTGCAACAAGGATAAACACAGCTGAATGCGCCTCCCAAGCTGCCCCAACCACAACCTTCGCCGTGACTTGTGCACACAACGTTGCCTATCCGAAATGGCGTTTTTCTTTTCTTTTCAGGCCACCCACAGATCGACATGGAATACAACAAAATAAAATGTTCCAACTTCGAACCCGGCCCGGCTGCATTGAAAAAGAGAGTGAGAGAGACCCGGTTCTTGTGCACGTTTTTGCTCCAATACAGAAATTGTGAGGCGTTCTATTAGTGAGGCAATGATAGTCAACCACATTGTCCCAACGCATGGGGCAACCGCGCGGATCACAAGGCTGCAATCGTAATCTTTCCAGACTCTAATTTCCTAACGGACTCGTTGCACATACCCAGACGTAAGGGTCCAACTAGTTTGCACGTTGTCAAAGTTTAAGTTTTTTTTTTGGTAGAAGGGGATTTTTTGGTTTTCTAACCCACCCGTACGTGAGGCGGAAATAACGTTTGCAGCACCATTTTTTGTTTTCTCATTTTACTCTACAGACAAGCGAGTCATTTGTATTGGATAGTAATCGCCTTCCTTACTCCTGTTTCATAAGTCGGAATTCGGAATGTGGTTAGAAGACATTTGTAATGACGTATGCTTTTATTTTTCTACCGGAAAAGAAGGATGTTAGCTATGGAACTAGTAAACACCTCGCCGAACTACCTTCGTACGAGACACAGAAAACCTCAGGCCATACAGAATATATGCAAAAACAAAAAAGCAGAGACCAGTTCAAAAACGCCTTCATCTCACCCAATATCCAAATGTGACCCCATCTCTCCCATGAAATTTCCAGCAATCATATAATCCCTAAAATAAAAAAACTTTAGTCATGCCCAAGAACCTTCATCCCGCGCTGCACCCATTCCTCCACGTTCGCATCCCCAACCTCGCCTTCCAACCACGCCCTTCCTTTATCACCCACAAGTTCCCAGCTCCCCCTCAACCCCCCCAATCGCTTCTCAAGCACCGCAATCACAAGCGCAGTCGCAGCCACCTTCTCATCCCCCTCTTGCATCTGCGTCTTCACACCCGCCTCATCCAACCCAAGGGCACCAAGTAACTCTGATGACAGCGACCATGACCCTTCGAAAGACTGCAGCGAGATGAGGTAGTGAAGAAGCGTTTCACCAGTTACCGAAGAAGGACGTTGCGGGGTTGATAATGCTGCTGCTGCTGGTGGGGTGCCAGAGTCGTTTTCTTGTCGAGCCATGACGAGCCGTTTTTTGTTTTGCTGCTCGAGGAGCATGAGGCTGGATTGGTAGTCTCGTAGTGATGTAGCGCTTGCGGCGGGTGGTGCTGGGGCGCCGAAGAGGGTTGGGCCGGAGTTGGGGGGTTGGTTCTGAACGGGTGGTGGTGGTGGTGGTGCTGCAGCGCCAAAGAGCGATGCGCCAGAGTTGGACTGGTTCTGAGTGGGTGCGGGTGCGGATGCGCCGAATAGAACACTACCGCTGCTACTGCTGGGGCTTTGGACACCGAAGAGAGATGAACCGATTTGAGGGGCTTGAGGGGGTGCTCCAAAGAGGGTGGTGTTGGCTTGGGGAGCAGCGCCATATCTTGCATTGCTGGAGGCGCCTCCAAACAAACCACCACCGCTGTTCGAACTGGGAGCAGCGCCATATACTGTATTGCTGGAGGCGCCTCCAAAGAGACCACCACCACTACTGCTACTAAAACCGGGAGCCCCAAAAGAACTGGAAGCCCCAAATGCAGCACTACCAACTGCATTGCTAGATCCAAACAAACCACCACTACTACTGCCCATCGAGTTGGACGCCCCAAACGCAGCCGTAGAAGTCATATTACCTCGAAACGGCGCCGGAGTCCCAAATGCCGAAGACGGTGGTCCTCCAAACGACATATGATAACTATGCTGTGATGCACCAAGGAGAGGTCTGAAAAGCGTCTGCTGATTCCCCTGTCCGTAAACTTGGTGCGCAGCAGCAGCATCGACTTTATCATCTATCCACTGCCACCCCTGTGCTTCTTTTCTCTGATTCTCTGCTGCTTCAGCGTGCGATTCGACAGCGACGAACGAACACCATTTTCCGCCTACTTGGAATTGTACGCCTAGTCGTACGGCTTCCCGCTCGACCATGTCGTCGTAGCGGCCCTCGCATTTCTTCTTTACCAGCGTGCCGGACTCGTCGGTGGCTTCGGAAAGCCAGCCTCGGCCTTGCTCGAGTTCTGAAATGGCTTTTTTGGCCGCGAGCTGGTGGATGGTTTCGCCCGGGTGGGCAAGGGGTTGGATTGGGATGACGAGTTCGAGTGGCCCCTGGGGGCTTGTGCCGCGAAGCGTGAGGGATGTGGGTGTACCTTGGGGTGCGGAGGGGCCGAGCAGGAGGTAGATTGATGTGCGATGGAAGGGGAAGAGGGAGGGGATCATTTGGGGGGCTTGGAGGATTTTGGGAATGGGGAGGGTGGGGAGGTGGGCGTAGCGGGATTCTCCTGTTTTATCGGATGCGGTTGGTTCTTTTGCGTCTGGGTCGGCGGTGGGGTCGAAGAGGGAGATTGTGTTTTTCTTCTATTTCGTTGTTAGTTGGTGGGTTCATAAAGTGTTTGGGGGATTGTGACTTACAGTTGGTTCTGGCTCAGCCTCGTCTTCTTTGAGATCGAGTTTTACCTTGAGACTATCTGATACTTTTTCGATGATTTCGAAATCATCTTCTGGCTCCACATCGAGGTGGGCTGAGATTTCATCATTGTTGTACTTGACTTCGAGGGTATAGTCGTTGATATGTGGGGACAATGCTCCCTTGAGCATTCGTACAACTTTCGTATTCATTGGCTCGTTCTCGCCGACTGATTGCGAGAAGCCATTTCCTGCCTTGGCTATACCTTCAATCAGTGCATGCGAGACGCCGTTCCCAACACCTAACGTGAAGACCCGGATCGGGGCTTTAGTCACTTGGATAGATTCGTTAAGATAGGAGAAAATGCGATCCTGTCCCCAATCCTCACCGTCAGTGAGCAACATGATATCAAGATCCATATCCTTGTATCGTCGCTCAATCGTCGCTTGCAGCGGCTGCAACATCTCCGTGCCGCCATAGTTCGCCGCAAAAGAATCAACATGATTCATTGCCGCATCGAGCGTCTGCTGGTTGTAGCTAGCGCTCTTTTCCCAGAGAAACGAGTGGCTTGAGCCGAACGAGCATATGTTGAACTTGACTCCAATGGGAAGAGACTTCAAAAACACCTTCAAGGCTTGTTTCGCAAGCTCGATTCTCGTAAGCTGCATGCTTCCACTGCGATCACACACGAAGACAATCTCGGGTCGTGCAGGAGGTAAGGCAAACTTTGGTACTAGCGTTGCCATTACTGCTCTTTGATTCGGAATCCTCGGGTACGTCTCAAGGATGGCTTTGGGCACGCCCGTGTGTTTGGCAATGACTTGCAAGATAAAGTCCTTGTCGAGTCCTGCAGTGGCAAGAGCGAGGGTCGCGGATGCCTTTGTCATTGCGGGATCGTCATTTGCCGCAGCAGTTGAAGTTGTGCCCATTGATATTGCAATGGGGTGTGTGGGCGACTGGATCTTTTGGATGAAGGATCCATCAGCCATGTCGACATCGACAGTAATGGAAATGCTCATACCCATTGCATCGGTAGCTGAGCTTCTAAGCAATGTGCCTGGGTAATCGCCATAGCGTGGGCATATGATGTTTGGGATTGTGAATCTGATGCCGTCGACTTCCATGTCGTGCTTGAGCTCGCCTAGATATGTGATTTCGACGATGACTTTTGCTCCAGGAGGGATGTTTCCAACCGTCGTGGTGAAGACGTCGGAAGCATCTGGGAGTTGCTCAAACAATCCGGCCGTCTCGCCTTTTGAGACTGCGTCTTGAAATACAGCTCTTGCCTTTTCTCTCTCCTTGACCTCACCAACGATTTTCCGGCCCCCGACATGGCAGGTGAAGCCTACTACACTGACACCATCATAGAGCGGAAAGGTGTAGCGACACTCCTTGATGGCTTTCTCTGTCGATGGGTTGGCAAAAGTCTGTGTGAGTACGGTTTTGGATGTGGTAGAAAGAATGGTAGCTTTTGCTTCGAGTTTAACTTGTGGAAGGAATTGTTTCTTGAGGTTCCATTCATCAGACCGGACAATGTAGTGTAGTCCACAAATGTGAGCTGGACCTGGATACCCAAAAAAGCCAGACATATTGAGGGCGACCCGAAGTACAACAAGCCTCAAATGTCGGATGAATTTATGAAAATAATCTTGACAGGTCACAAATTCTACAGCAATGCAGTGGGTTCACAAGAATAAAGCAAATCCTTCAACACGGGCGTTTCTTCAGCAGAAACGGAAAAATTGTGAATAATGTTTGGGAAGATTGAAGAGTGTGGTTAGCGATGTGAGTTGAGAAGATCATGGCGAGGGTTTGTCGAGACTTAAATATTGTCTGAGGAGGCTGTGTCTGAATGCTGCCTGAGTATTGCCTGAGTGCTGCCTGCGGACTGTTTGGTCTAGATGGCTGCCTAGGACTACAAACCCAGCCTAGTGCGTGCCACGACTCGCGCAACCAGCAGGATACGACACACCAGTCCAATGAAGGCGGTGCAATATTGGCAAGAGTTGAGGCCGAAACAGGCGAGTGATAATGGTAGTTGGCGGATTGGATGCTTTTTCGGGGGCGGATGGGTTTGTTGAGGCGCAGGGCATCATGCACACAGCGGACGCGCTCGAATGAGGTCGATTGGGCTTTGAAGCGCACAAACGGCGGCTCTGATATTACCGCTCGATTCAAGCATGGGAATTCTCAACGTCTGGAGTGAGATCCGACGGTCAGTGAGATGAGGCTGAACGTGGGGTCGCCGATCAGGCCATGCCTTGTTCGGCTACAAGCACTGGACCCTGAACGTCAGGCTGCATGCCAAAAATTATGACTGTCATCCACCATGCCACCAAACAATGCGTGGGCCAGTCACCCACGCCTTTCCAGAGTTTCACCGTTCATTGCACAAACTGTTCTGTGCCCAGCGCGGCTTTCACAAACTTTCCAGGGTGCCGCGACGTGTTCTATTTCGGGAATCGCACGGGAGAAAAAGAAAGATGGCGGGGTATGAAGAGTGGTCTCAGCAGCAATTGATTGCACGAATACAAGAGCTGGAGAAGCAAATAGGTGTAAATGGCTCTGAAGCATCTACGATACAAAATTCTGCAGCGCCTATTGTGGCTGCGGACCAACAGACACCACTATCCACAGATGCCCCCCAATCATTAGAAATTCGCAAGGCCGTCAAACCGCCACCAAAAGTATTTGACGCTTCCAAATATAGCACGCGTCTCATCGCACTCAAATTTGCATATCTCGGCCAAAAGTACAATGGCTTTGAGCATCACAATAATAATTCAACCCCATTGCCGACAATAGAGGAAGAGCTATGGAAAGCATTGGTAAAAACACGTTTGATAACTCCAGCTACCCCGGGCGAAGGCGACAAAGCATACGAGAGAATTGATAAAAAGACATTCGCAAATTGGGACAGAGAAGGCGCAGATGTTAATTGGGATGGCTGCGAGTATTCAAAATGCGGAAGGACAGATAGGGGAGTGAGCGCTTTCGGACAAGTCATTGGTGTCAGGGTCCGGAGTAACAAGCCATTACCAAAGAAACCTCAGCCATCAGAAGATACCCCACAAGCAGACCAAGAAGATGAAGACTCGATACTGTCTTCGAAACAAGAGCCCGAGTCTCCACCAAAACCCTTCAACGACCTCACAGATGAACTCCCTTACATTCAACTACTAAACCGCGTCCTCCCGCCTGATATCCGCGTATACGCCTGGTGTCCTAACCCACCACCAGACTTTAGTGCGCGCTTCTCTTGCAAAGAACGACGATACAAGTACTTCTTCACAAACCCCTGTTTCGCCCCAGTACCCGGGTCTTCAGGTCTTTACAACCCCAACACCTCCCCATCCTCTGAAAACAAGCCCAAAATGCGCGAAGGCTGGCTCGACATCGCCGCCATGAAACAAGGCTGCCAGCACCTCATCGGCCTCCATGACTTCCGCAACTTCTGTAAAATAGACGCAAGCAAACAAATCTCAAACTTTCACCGCCGCATCTTCCACGCAGACATTGAAGAAGTCTCCCCCTTATCCATCCCAGCATTCCTCTCCCACCCCGCCTTACAAACCCCAGACACAGAAGGAAACCAACCAAAACTCTACTCCTTCACCCTCCACGGCTCCGCCTTCCTTTGGCACCAAGTCCGCTCCTTGGTCGCAATCCTATTCCTCATCGGCCAAGGTCTCGAGTCCCCATCGCTAATCCCCGCCTTACTCGATATATCCGCCAATCCCACACGCCCGAAATATGAAATGGCAAGCGACGCGCCCCTCGTCCTGTGGGACTGCATCTTCCCGCACCCAGACGAAGTCCAGAGCTCTGAGGAGCGCGAGCACGGGTATGAGGATAGTCTTGACTGGATCTATGTGGGTGATGAAGGCGGTTCTGAACCTAAAGCTAAAGGCATGGCGAAAAAGGGTGGGGGACCTGCAAGTATTGGGAGGGGCAAATGGGGACGAGGCGGTGTAGTCGATGATGTGTGGGAGGTTTGGCGGGGGAATAAGATTGAAGAGACGCTTTCTGCGCTTTTGCTGGATAAGATTGCGGGACTGGGGAAGTCGACGCTGGATGCTGAGGTGGCTTTGTCAGAGCAGAGTGTGGGGATTGCGAGGGGTGGGCCGAGAGTATTTGACGGAGGCGATTTTGGAAGGGCAAAAGGGAATTATACAGAGGTGCTGAAGAGGGAGAGACAGGATGCTGTTGAGGTGGTTAATGAGCGGTATCGGATTCGAAAGGGGATTGTGGATGCGGAGAAGATGAAGGTCAAGGAGGAGGAGGCGGATGAGTAACGTTGTTGGGATAATGCCGGCTCCATAGCTTCAAGATTCCGCAAGTACCAAATTTCTTATATTCAAATAGCGGAATTTGCCCTAACTATAAAGAAACCTCTCTTCGAATCTGGGTATCATGTATCCAAACCTCATTCTCCATCTTCCAATCTTTTTCGTAAACAATCCCACTTTTTCTTGGAAAACTATCCAAATTCGGCTTTGTCAACTCTCATTTGCCCCCCCCCCCAGCGAATCCAATAACACAGCAGATACTTCTAATCACCAGTGTTGAGCTCCAAATCAATCTGCACACCATTACTAATAGCATAATCCGCACACGTAAGATTATCATGGAACGGTCTCTCTCCCTGCCTCTTGAGCATAATCTCGTGGACCGGTCGTCCGATTTTTGCCGCGACCATGGCTTTGAGCAGCTTGATGGGATCGCTGGGTAGGCAAGGGACTTGTGTCTTTGTACCTAGACGATCGTTTATCGTGACGAGGATCATGGGCTCGGAGGGTGTCGAGGCAGCTGGGGCGGGTTTCTTGTTTTCCTTGGTGGTGGAGGAAGCGTCGCGCGGCTTGCGGTCTCTTGGGGAGCGAGAGCGGCGCCGGCGGTGTTGGTCGCGGCTGGAGTCTCGGTGGCGGTGATGGGAAGAGCGCTCGTCGTCGCGGTAGCGGTTGCTGTGATCAGAGTCGCGCGTTCGGCGATCACGGTCGTCGTCGCGCCTTCTGTCGTTGTCTGAATCTCTTGGTCGCCTTTCCCGGTCTCTGTCATCGCGCCGTCTGTCTGGGTCGCGCCGCTCGCGGTCGCCTTTGTACTTGAGGCCGCTGAAGTTCTTGGGTTTGCGAGGTGCTGGGGAGCGCCTTGGGGAGCGCGACCGATCACGGTCTGTTTGTCTTGAAGAATCCATAGTCTGGCTTTGTTTTTATAGCGAAATGGTGTGCGGGTACTGGCTTGTACTCAGTTCGTGCTTGGGCGTTTGGTGAGGCAAGTACGATGTTGGTGTAGAAGGTGGAGTGGGTTGTAGAGGAAGAGCGAAATATGTACGAAGACAGCGGTAGCAATGCTTCCAAAAACAAGTACCCATCTAAGAATGGAGAAATGGTCTTATCGATAAGCCCACCCAACCAAGCGCGTCATTCCGCTTGCCTGTCCCCTACCGTCCCTTTTTCTCCCCCACATCCCGCTCTGGGGGCTCATATTGTTTGGTACTTTTCTCATGACGCTACGTATATAGTAGCTAGTTCACAATGTCAAGCTTCCTGCACAGCCTCACATCTCCGCCCGCCCAAACACTGCATGTGCTGCAGCCTACGCCCGCCACCATCACGTACACGGTGTCGACGCGTTCTGCATCCAAGACACTGCCAGCGCATGTAGGATATTATGTAGGAATACTTGTCCGGATATTCTGTGGGTTAACAAGTGGACTGCTACTATGGATGAAATGGAAAATTACAAATAAGCAACCAATGCTCTTCTTGCAGGTCGCATTGGGTAGTGAAGGAGAGGGGCAACTAGTAAAACTGGTGGAGACGTTGCAATGGCGATATCTTGTTCCAAGTGCGCTCCTTACTCTATTCTTAGTCTTTCGAAGAAACTATACTGGTACGCCGTTTCTGTCATTTCCACCCTCATCAACTCAACACATTATTTCCTTAACAACGAATCGCTAACAATGTCTCTAGAGGAATCCCTAACTGTGCTTCGTGGCCTCGGCGTCCAAACTTCAACTACCTCCTCGACGTACCTCCAAACACCCACAACGCGCTTCATTCCCACAACCAACATTCAGGACATCTTCATACACGAGGCGTTCAAGGGCTTCGAAGTGAGATTCTACCTCATGATCGTGGTGGAAGGCGAGGACGAGGTGGTTGTCGTCTTCCCAACAATGTTGCCCAGAAGGGGAGTGCTGGAAGTTGTGTGGAGAGGAGTGAGAGGAGGGCTGTGGGAGCAAGGATGGTCGAAGCCAAAGATCGAGGTGACGGAAAGCAACGAAAAGGTAGAAATATGAAGCCATATACGGCATGCCTCTTGTACTCTTGTCGTAATCGGCATCTTCATTTGTCTTGGAACGCGTGAAAAAATCTTCTAAGAGAAAGGATGAGCAAAAGTTCTCATGACAGTGTCTATTGTCTCACAGCCATACCTTGAGTCTTGCGAAGCGACCATACATCAAAAGCAACAGCTGTTGCCAACGCCACACTACAGACGCATCCGCATCACTGTGCGCGCAGGTCCCTCTCTTATACAAATAGCGGTATCCAAAACAACAATGTAGCGATATCCTTCTCTTCCAAACTCACGGCCCATCTCCATCTAGTACCTGTATCTTGTACTGTAATCCTTGGGACTAACCACCAAACCCCTACCCTTCTTCGCACCCCGGTATACCGTCTCAATAATATCTATAAACTCCTGCTTGTCTTCCAACACCCAGTTGAGCTTGTTGTTGTTTCCCGTGCCGAAATCGCACATCATGTGCTTGTTGCGGAAGAAGAACATGACGGTGCACGGGTCGTATAGTTCGTACATGGCTTTGAAATCAGGTACTTCGTCCAGGTCGCACAGGTAGATGGCGCAGAAGTTTTTTACGCGGTCGGCAATCTTGTAGAGTACTTCGTCTTGCGACATGCAGTCTGGGTCTGAGTCGCGTCCGAAGCGGATCAAGACGAGTCGGTCTTCTTCTGAGAGAATCGCTTGGTCGACGTGCCAGCCGGTGCGCAAATGTGGGAGGACGACGGAACCCATATTGTAAGGATATTTCTGTGTATAAGTGATGGCGTTGATTTGAGGTAAATGTTGCGGTGGTGGTGGTTTGCGGAGGGTTGAAAGTTGTGAGTTGCAAGTCTGATCACGGGCAAGCTAGGGTATAAGGATCCGTGCGTTCCAACTCTCAACGCTTGGTTATGGTCAAACAATATATCTCAGTAGACAATGCAGTTGGGACCAAATTGCAAGAGGGTCAAGTGTGGGTTGGCTTCATGTTATAGAAAGCTAGGCAAGGCAGCTACCGGCTGGTGATCTAGAATGTTCCTGAACAGACCCCGCACTTTATCCATCAGCCCTACCGTGATAGCAGTCCTTGTCTCTGCAATCCGGTCCACCACGAGTGTGTATGCTACCATTATCGCATTGTGATGAAACTAAAGAGGCTGCCCTGAAAGAGATTTTGATGTGGCTGCGCGCCGTTCCCAATCGCCTCAACTCCTTCCCGAATGTTCCTCAATCGCCCGCCCTTAGATGGAGCTGGGGTACATCATAACCCTGACACTGGCACCGAAGGACTTTGGTGGAAGGTTGTGCTGGAAAGAAGCGCGAACGAGACCAGAGTTGCCTGTTTATACATTAATCACCGCTCGTCATGCATAGCCCAGCGAATTGTACGCACCATGAGTTCGGCGGATCTTGCCCCAGATGACGCGGATGGGGTTCGACTTGCTGCTGCCGACGCGGTATACATAGGCGACACGCTTTCCGAGGTACCACTCCGCGTCCTTTGTGCTTTCGACGCCCTCGAGCTGGAGCAGGCTGATGTTGGGGTTCGAGTTGCGCTTGCTACGCTGGTAGCTAACGTGGCGGCCCTTGACGTAGACTGAATTCCAGTCAGTGTGTGTGCATGCAAATTCGTCGCGCCGTCTACTTACGGCGGTGGCTCTTTTCCGAAGACATCTCGAAGGCTGTGGGGGGACGTGTCGTGATGGGTGACGCTGGTGCTGCTGAAATTGAAGACCCAGGGTTTTCGATGTGGGAGGTTTCGGTAAATCGCTTAGCTAATATCTTGGCAGAGCTGCTCGTGGCGCAGGCCTAGTAGCATGCAATCCATTCGCTTAACGAACTATAGCTCAACCACTCTGGTCAACATGGGTTTGTGCACAACAATACTGTGGGGGCTTCCTTGGTTGTGCGCTGACGTTGTTAAGTTGGAGATTGAGCACTCTCGACTGCATTTTTGCACATGTTGGGTATACACGAGTGGGCCTTTGAGACAATTTCTTACTCTGGTGGTAATCTACTACCGACCTCTTCATACCGAGAAAAAAATTAGCTGTAAACGATATGTCTCATTATATTTATACAATGACTTGACTACCCTTTGCTACCTTATCATCTATGCGCATGTACGGTCTTCGTAGCCTGTGTGGTGCTACGAAAAACATGACAAATCCTATTCACGTGATACTGATTTCACAGCAAAAAACAAAAACATACGACAGCGGGGATTCGCTAGTGGTCACCCACCTAACTACTAATCCGCCGATTTCAAGCTTGTATAGGCCAGATCGAACGGGATGGCTAAATTTCTTGAATCTATGGCCGTATGTGCCATAAAAACCAGGGCAAATTCATTCTATCCGCAGAATTGCCACGTGAGAGCTCGGCGGAAATGGCCTCTCCAGTCTAGCCACCGAGCATGGATCGTGTGTCGGACTTCTGAGGTAACACAAAGCAACCACAACACTCACAGTGCCATGAAAAAAAAAGGACCGAATTTCTCTCACTCTCCGTCAGAGTCGTGGTGCCACGCTGAGGCGCAACAACCGTCATCTCGCCTTGACCACTCTCTGCAGAAATCGCGATTTCCTCGCCGCAACCTCAACAACCTCAACCCCAAACAACAACGAATAGCTATTACCCAGCCAAAAACCAGTCACTTACCAGCGCCAAGGCAGACACTGAAGCCTACAAAATCTTCTTTTCGCGCTATGCTACGCGTTCGCAAAATCCATGCGCAGACTTCTTCCATAGTCCCTCTTGTTGCAGTAGTTGGAAGTAAAGCTGGCCTTGCCCATTTACGCGATCTTTTCCAGCCCGAGAAAGAACGGGTCCCACTCATGGGAGAAAATTTCATTGGAATATTGGATCACGTCGAGTTACGAAGTGTATGAGTATACTGTGGCTCTGTGCGATACGTATGAGCAACTGCATTTTGGCGGGGTGTATAATACAAAGCAGCTTGGTGAGGGTGGTTGAGAGGGGAAGGCGCAACAAAAAAATCGGTGATGACGTATTAGCAGACTGCTACTGGCCTTACACAGGGACTCCTTCCTCGCCCAATACACAAAGCATTATCATGACCATCGAATGGAACACAGCTACTAACGAGGGTATACAACATTGTTCGCGTTGCAATTCCTACCGAAGCATTTTAGTGAACTCAAAGGGGGCTGCTTTGGATATCAATGTACGAGGTAAAAGTGACTGAAATACCAAGCTCTTGGATCTACTAGATGGGCTCAGCGGAGAAGAGGATGCTCGAGCTGAATTGCTGGAACAAGCCTATTATCTTGGGCAGAAATGTATATAGTAAGCACGAGATTGTAACTGTGGACAATGTATTGCTACATAATTGCACTAGCCGAACACCAAAATCCAAGCCTCAACTGCCACCGGAAATAATTCTACCAAAGGAGGACAAGAAAGGGGTATCTCAAGGAATGGGAAATAAGAACAAAAGAAATGAAGGGAGGGAAGGAAAATTCGGAGGAGGATACAAATCAGTGGGAACAGAAGAATGGCGGCCCGTTTCGATCCTCCCACTCTTCCTCGTCCTCCTCCGCGTCCTCCTTCTCCACTTACACCCGGGTAAACCAATCATTCCACCACTCCTCATAGCTCTGGAATTGGCCTTGACGAATAGGGTTACACGGCCGCTCAGCGCCAGTCCTCGAATAACACCTTCCGAACACGCGCCAAGCATGGGCTGGCACACCAGGATGCAGTGAGAACCTACGCGTATCGTTTGCCATCATATCAAGGAGTACATAAGTCCAATAGCGGCATACAGTTCCGCCAGACGAGAAGAGATACTGGTGGAGCTTCCAGTCATGTCGAATCGCCCTATACAGAGTTTTGACTTGTACTGGTGCATAGAGGTCGTAATTGATACACTTGACTTCCGAACTCGAATGACGGTAGTTGGCTAGTTTCCACTGGAGCTGGCCTCGCCTGTCTCCATCGTCGGTCCTCATGTTGACTTGGACTGCGCCGCCCCGGTCAAGAAGGAGGAGAGTGGTGACATGGTTGTTACTGTGCAGAGAGTTAGGCCAGGCCCCGGTCGTATGGATGGTGACGCGTATCTGTGAGAATGTCGAGGTATTGTTGTCGAAATACTCTCGGTTCTGTTCCTCCAGTGCAACAATGTGGCTGATGCTAGGCATCCTGTCGACGATCCACCTTCTCCTTCGCTTTTACAATGTTGATAGTGTTGGAGCAGATGGTTGAATTGATCTTGAGAAAGGTACTAGAACGATTGGAAACTATTCTAATTCCATGCCTTATCTGCTATACGGAAAGTCCTACATAGTGTGGATACAATGTTAGGGAAGAAAAAAGATTGTAGTGAAATAGCGGTTTGCATTCACTACTTCGAGCCAATAGGCAAGAAGACCATCGATACTATAAAGGTGACCGGTACGGTCGAATCAACCAGTCAAGGACTGAAGAGGGTGTGGACATGAACTGGCGAGTTGTACTTTTCTTTATTTTAACACCTTTGCAGGAGCTTAGTCTCTCTCACAGCGATGGATATCACACATCCTGAAGGAATGGAGATAGCTTCGAGCTACGAATACTATCACGGTGGGTACGAGCACATCTACTTCCACTTGGACCGTACGATGGGTAGCTAAATGCACGAGGAGCTGCGACTGTAGAGGAATAATAGACGGGCTAAAACTCATGGAATTGGATAATGCTTCTACTGTCCAGGGATACACTATCTTCCACTCAAGGCTGGACGGTAGTTTTGCCCAGGGGACACTCGTAACCCTGTGCACCACCACAATACCTGCTAGACTACGACTTGGATACACAAACAATAGCGAATACCCGCCGTCATATATTTTCGGACTCATTTTCTTGCTGTGCACACACCACATGTCTGGTTACAGTCCACTTTCATTCTTCCAGATTCACTTTTTGGCCAGGGGTTTCCAGGGAATATATCCAGCTCAAGTCCGCTACTTAATCAAGCATAGCGTCTGGCCAGTGAAAGCACCATGGAAAAGTTGTCCAATTCACTCTAACAAAATCATAGGATCGGTACTTTTACGGACAACAATAACGCGTCTGCCTGGCCAAGAGAGTGAAAGCTACACGGATGCCTGAGAAACAAACAGACCTGGTTCACGTACTGCCTTTGACGAAACGGGAACACCGCATTGCACTTTCACGTAAACGATAGATATAGACGGGACATGCAACGAGAGGAATGCACACAAATGTACATGTGACAAAACTGGATATACGAACCTAACCCTAACGCCAGCGGAGACCCTTCGCGGTTGGACCCAAACATGCTATTACTACAAAGGAGCTACTAGCTCAGAAGACGCTGATGTAGTTGCCAATGCGCTCCTTTTGGTTCTGCGCAATGCACTCGGCTATCCAGGTGATGTTTCGGATCTCCTACAAGATATGTTAGCAACCATGATACACTTGACTATCACAACCTGCAACGTACCTGTTCTCGAAGCTTTACCCATGCGTATACAATGGCGTGAGTGAACTGGTGGGTGAAGGCGAGTTTTGAAATTTCCATCTCCTTTTGGTAGAACAGATCCTCCAGGCTTCTTGTTTCGCCACCAACACCACCTGCCATGTTGCCTACACCACCACCGTTCTGGCTGAGGCCAGTCTGGTCGAAGAACATCTTGTAGTCGGAAACACTCTCAACGGCTATGCGGACACCCTCCACGTCATCGGCTCTTGATAGCATCAATATTCCTTCGGGGTAGAGCTTGCCGAGCTCAGGGTAGAGCTTCTTCCTCTCGTTCTTGGAGAGCTCGGTACCGAAGGAGTTGAGGGAAATATTGATACTTCTGCGGTCGGCCTCAAACTCCAGAACCTCGGACATTACATCGGAGGTCGGTGTACCAGCAATGTCGGGGCAAGAGTTGATCCACTGGTGAAAGTCCTCGAGGTAGTTCTTGTACAGAGTGTTGCGGATAATCTCAATGTTCAGTTCGTCCAAGTCCTGGTGGCTGAGCGAGCCCTTGAAGTATGGCGCAAGCGGCGTCTCGATGAGGACCGAGTTGTACAGCTCCTCAATGTTGGTGGCCACGCACAGCACGGGCATGGTCTCGAACCAGCCAAGCGGGTGGCACCTCTCAAGCAGCTCTCGGGTATCCCTCTCGTGCAGAGTGCCCGTAATCAGAAGCGCGACGTTGTCAATCATGTATCCGTAGGTCAGGTACTCCATGAACTTGGCCAGCGAGCCGGTCGCGTTGGCTTGGAGATATCGGAACTCGGCTACCAGCTTGTCCGTGGTCTTCGCGGCGAGAGCAGACGTCGAAGGATTTGGGGGCAACGAGTTGAGAAAGTCACCGTATGCGGGCGCAAGCTGGAGTTTGACATCTAGAGCATGGTCAGTCCGTGTGCAGATGCAGGCGCGATCGGATCTGATATACCATCGATGGTCTCGCACTGGGTCAGGTTGCTGTAGTTCTGGCTGGTGAGCAGCGCATTGCGGTAGCCGCGCACGATGCCCTCGATGTAGCTAGAGGAGTATGTTAGGAGAGGTATCATTTTGCAGATGCACGGAATGCGTACCCGTATTTGACGTTGTAGTAAAGACCCTCCATGTTGTGCTGATGATTTGCTGCTGGCGACAATCATTCATTCACTCACGAAGAGCTCCAGCTAGGGCGTCATGCCAAGCCTTGGCCCGTGTCGCGCCTGCCTCGACGACCGCCTGGGGTGTTTGCGCGCTAGCCTTAATCGCCGAAGTGGCAGTGACAACTTTCTTAAGTCCATCGTCACTTCCTCGCTCGCATCACTCACACCCAACACACTCAACGCGCCCCATCCCGCACCGCCCACAGCAGTTGCGTCGCCCATCTTGACATCTTCCGATATCAGCAATTGTATAGCAACTGCCCAGTAAGTGACTCCCCGCGCCTGCGCAACGCGCCTACTGACCTCGGCCTTAGACATGTCAGCTACCGCTACCCGGCGCTCAACGCGTCGCACAGCGGCAGCAGCAGCCTCGACTGAGGCCGCGCTGTCAGCCTCGGAACAGAGCTCGCAGCAGGGAACTCCTCCCCCAGAGGTTCCCAAGAAAAAGGCCCGAAAAACCAAGGCTACCTCCACCAAGGCTGAGCCGCAGGTCGTGATCGAGTCGCAGCAGACCGTCACCAAAACTCGCGCCTCGTCACGCGCAAACGCTACATCCACATCGGCCGCAACCACCGCCACGACCCAGACCTCGACCGTCACTGCACAAGCGCCTTCCACCGGGAGGAAGCTCACCAGGGCCGCCCGCGCCGCTCACGTAAAGGCAGGTGGACAGGCCTCACCACAGCGCAGCCTGGAGCAAGTCAGACCCGTGAAGCGTGCGCGCAGCACCGCTCCGACCAAGGAGGCCAGCGTGAAACGACAGGCGACATCCGCAAAGTCGACGCGAAAGAGCATCGTCAACGACCAGGAGAACGAGAACGACTTGGGCCCGTTCTTCACGGCCGGTAAGGATCATTTTTTCTCAGCCCCAGAACAACAGTCAGAAGTCACCAGCGAGTCACTCGAGGAAGAGAACGCCAAGCAGCGCAAGGAGATTGGTGAGCTCCGCGCCCGCATCACAGATCTGGAAGCCCTGAACCAGGATCTCGCGTATAAGCTCTATGAACGAGACCAGCAAATGCTCGCACTTGAGGGCAAGAACCTGTGTCTGCAAAATGAAAACTTCCGTCTGAAAAATGAGAACTCTCGTCTGACTCAACTCCCCAACGATAACTATCGTTCACCAGCTGACCAACACGATGCAGAATTCGACAGTGATATCTTTGATTCATCTGATCCTATCCCTCAACCCGTCTTCACCAATGGCAGTGAGTCCGCACTCGCACTTCTCCAGAAGATTGAGGAGTCCGCCAAGGAGACGATGCGCGGCGAGCCGGCGTCGAGTAGCAATGACACACACACTGACAAGAGTGTTGACGCTGTGCCTTCACAGCCCCAGTCCGTCAAGAGAACATTTAACGAAGCCACAGCTACTCCGGATCGTTCAGTTGAGAAGTCAAACATTTTCAGCCGGTCCTTCTCCGCCATAAAGTCAAGACTATTCTCATCAACCCCTAAGCCACCACCAACCCCTGAAGTCGCCTCGCCTACTCCAACAAGGCCTTTGCCACCCCAGGATTCACTGACGGAGACACTTTCACTCCCACCAACACCTGTTGGCGAGCGCGTCCAGACCCCAAGTAAGAAGCGCGCACCAAGCAACACCATGTTGAAGGTACTGCTCAAGGGTGTTGACCAAGAAGACAAGCGCAAGGCAGAAGATTGGGCTAGAAAGGTCATTCCTGAGCTAAGGAACGATAATGACTTCCGCGAGAAGCGTCGGCGACTTGAGACTCCCGTCTTGTGCAAGGATCTTGTCCACTTCCCCGCAGCCAAGCCCTGGGAGACTGGTTTCGGTGACCCACTTGGTGATCTGGATGACGATGATGTCGTTCCGGTTTGGGCTGTCTATCTTGAGATGAAGACTGAGGAGGAGGAGCACGCTGCAAAGAGGCAGAAGAAGGCTACTGTCAGCTCCGCAGAAGACGAGATCCCCACTATTGACGAGCAATTTGCGGCTAGCAGCAGCATGCGCACATCAAAGAAGCTCTACGACAGTCATGGCCAGTCTACATCTTTGTACGACTTGCATCCTCGTCGTTCGATCGATCCCTCTCCGATGTTCTCAAACTCTCTGTCACACAGCGAAGGCGGCAACATCTTTAGTGAACTTCAAGGACACGAGAACGCTGCCAGGATTCGTGAGAATGACCGTGAGATTCTCAAGAATGCAACCAAAGAGACGGTCGATACCCAAACGCAAAGCTCCGTTGGGCTGTCATTCAGCGTGCCCGACGACTCTGATGACGAAGACTCGGCCGCAGATGCTGAGACTTCGGAAACTGAGACTCCTGCAAGCGAAGCCAAGCCGATTTGGACCCAGCCCCCGCCCCCCGCGCCTGTTCCTGCCCATGCACCGCTGCCGGGAGGATCTCCAACCGAGCCGCCTCTCAGCCCTCCAAGCCAACAACCTGTAGATGAAGTCGCACGACAGCGCCAGCGTCTCATGAAGCACACGCCTGCCAAGCCTTCTCGCCTCCGTGAAGCAACATATCCTTCACCGAGTGTTTTCTCAGACGCTGGCAACGAGTCTCTTCTTGCTGCCACACCTGCTCCGGTTGCTGCTTCTGCACCTTCCATGTTTGACGACATGCCCGCAGCGCAGACCATTGAGCTTGACGCTGAAGAGAAGGCTGCTCTTGAGGAGCTCATCGACTCGGATGAATACAAGAAACAGCTTGCCGCCAACTGGCCCGCCGCCACCCTTACGTACGAATCGGATGAGGAGGAGCTCAGCCCCATCTCCACCTAAGTCCATATCATGCGTTTTGTTCTATCGTTCGCCCTTTCCCCACCCACGTCCCGAAATTGACCGACAAGGCATTGGACCGGATCCTCTGCCCCAAAAAGCATGTTTGTATATACTGCATAGTTTGCGTGTTTTGCATAGCCTGGGTCCGATTCGTTTTCGCTTGCTCTTCTCATGTATTATATATCACGGACCCAGCTTGTTTCTTGTTTTCACTCGGGCGTTTGTTACTAAGGGGACACATAAAAAGATGGATGATTCATGACTTGCAGTATACCCCCTCTTGTTTTTTATTTTCCCCGTCATCATCACCATCACCATTATCATCATTGCTCAATACACGACTACTACTCGTATGGGCTTTTTGTCGGGATCAGAGGGGCTTATGATGTAGTCTTGTTTTTTTACACGTTTCGCATTGTTTGGGGGGACTTTCTTGTCGTTGCACCTGCTCTTTTGGCTTTTCTCGCACTTGCTCTTCTTGCTCTTTCTCGCATGCTCTTTCTGGCGCCCTCCCAGCAATTGCATCGTGGTTTTTAGTTCCTGTTTTATACATTCAGGGGGTCTTTCTTCTTTTACTTGCACCCTTTCTTCCCCCACTTGCCCTAATTACATACTTTGTACGGATCGGAATAAATACTTTACATTAACATTTTGTGCACTTTGCGTCTGTGACTATGACGAGAGAGAGAGAGAGAGAGAGAGATTCTGTGAGAGACAATGGTTTTGTATACTAAACTACACAAATGATTACCCAGCCTGATACACCGGATTCTCAGTCTTGTAATATATCGCCTTGACCGGCTGCCCCAACGCCCGCTGACTCACTTTCTTTTGCGCAACAACTTGCTGCCGCCGCATCTTCTTGTCCAAACTCGCCAGACTAACAAGTTGCGCAGTCGATAACCCGGCTAAACTAAGTTCGGTATTGCGACCCGTTATCGGCGGTGCAGGTGTAGGCGGCAGAAGCGGACCTGTAGATATCTCAGACCGTGAAGACGAAACCGCCAGTAACGCTTGCTCTACACTTGACGGAGGCGTTGTACCGTCTTCTTCCTCTCGCTGTTGCAAATATCGCTGACGCGCTACACGCTTCCCACTCTTCTTTTTCTTCTTGCGCGTCTTGCCCACATCTTCTAATCGCCTTGATGTCTGCATATCTTCTTCTTCTGCCTCCTCACTTTCTTCGGTGGAAGACGACGGCGACGCGAAAAACTCACCCCACAATCCCCCCTCAACTTTGCAATGACCCCTATCCCGCATATGGCTCTGCACACTCTTCACACTACCCTTTTCACGTGCGCAGTAGATGCATTCGTGGTAGGTGTGTATGAGGAGGGAGAGGTAGGAGAGGAGGGGTTCGATTGCGGCGGTGCTGGTGGACGAGGAAGAGGGGGAGGGGAGGAAGAAGGAGTGTGTGCTGGACATGTGGGATAGGTTTTCAGAGAGGGTGGGTGATGTGTGGGAGCAGAAGAGGCAGGTTGATAGGTCTGGCTTTGGTGTGGAATTCTGGGGATCGGGAGAGGAGGAGGTGTGGGTTGAGGATGAGCTGGATGATCCTGGTCTTGAATCTTGATGGCTTGGTTCGGGACTGGAGTCGGTTTGTCGGATCTTTTTCCTTTTGCTAGTGCCATTGTTGTCGTTTTCAAAATCTGCGAATTCGGATTCGGATAGTGCTGGTTGGCCTGATATTCTGCGTTGCAGGTTGTGGATACTAGGGAGTGTTCGTTAATTCTTCATTACTTTATTTGAATTTGTAGTGATATTTGCGCGAATATTCAACATAGTTTAATGGAGAGGAAAATAAGGTGTACTTACTGCCATGTCCCCCTCATATGACTTCTCTGCAATGTACTACTCTCGAAAGAAAGTGAACAAGTATTACACGGAAACACTGTCCGCGATCCATTTGCTTCAGCTCCTCCGGTGGCTCCAGTGGCTCCAGTGTCATGGACCATTTTCGTTGGTTGTCGGAACGTAAAGTATAAACTTGAAGTAAAGTAAAAAAGCCTTAGCTGTAAAGTCGTGTATATAAGGCCTTGAGGCCGGAAGTGAGCTAAATCGATGATGTACATCCTGTTAAGGCACCAAGGCCATTATATACTCAAAATACCATACTATCAAAAGTATGGGAATGGGGGTGGTGCAATGTCACGTGATGGGACTTATGAGGCGCAGCCGTATGCAAGCCACAAAATGAGTCATTTTGAGTTCATGTGTATTCACCCACGCACATGGCGCCAAGCAAGCATCACACTGGATGCAGCATGAGTCTTTGGCGAGTTTAGTCTTGGACTTTGGATCTATCGGGTGGATGTTCGTAGATCGAGATCCAGACTGGGGAGAGGGAATGGAGCGCAAGGAGCGCCAATCGCACTATGTTGTTTTAGGAAAGGTACCTTTTTTTGACGTCTCCACAGGAGCAACGACACAAGCCTCGGCAGTGGATTCTCCAAGTCAATCACGTCAACCTCGCTACTTCGACCACCACGATGAAAACACAAAGACATTTTCAGTATTCATTTCATTATAGATATTGAGAATAAACGCCATACAAGACAGGCATAATATCATTCAAGACTCTTACCAAACAGAAACTAAATCCCTCTCTTGATAGGAGCCCTTCTCCTAACGATGCCCAAAACGCCTTTAGCACTAACTGCTGTGATCCGTAGATTTACCCTATATTGATATCATGTCTGTATACCTTTACCGTGTGGCGCGGTGTTGTCGCAAACACCATGAAAAAAAGCTGAGTAGGTGGCCAATAGACGCCCTCTACAAGAAAAAGGTATCCGGAAGGGTGGAGAGAAGGGCGAAAGACACGACTGCACCAGTGGCGCCAAGAAGAGGGTAGGCAGCCCTGTTAAGAACCTTACCAAGCACAGAGCGAGGTATTTTCTTTGGACGCTGAGCAATTTGAGCAGCTGTCTGAGCGGCCACGACCTCAGCAACTGGGTCTGAATCGATTAGGTTGCCTTCACTCTCATTAGAAGCAACTGAGACGACTTTCGGAACATCCTCTTGGGACACGGCAAGGTCCTCGTCAAGTACATAGGCTTTGCGCTTCATGTAGTTGACTGATTCTGGCGTGGGCGGATGTTCTTCGACAACCTCTTCGACAATCTCTTCAATAGAAACCTTTGTGCGGCGACCTGGCTGCAACGGCGTAAGGATCTCAACTTCTGAAACTGGGGCTGGTGGAGGTGTTTGGAGCCGGTGAGCTTGGGATGACTCGCTGGGTTGAGGATAGAAAGACGTGGACGGTCGAGGATCAACGGATTCTTGTGTAGGAGGCTGTATATGGTTGTACAGTAGAGCCGTGTGCTCATAGGTCATGGGCATATAATGGGCCGGCTGGTACCAGTCTTGAACTTCGTTCTGACAATAAGAGGAGGGATATGCCCAGGTACCCCAAGATGCAGGTTTAGATGCGGAGCGAGGTGGCAGAGGTGGGGCTGTCTCGCAACATGAAGGCGTGGAGTCGATTTTGGCAGCCTCTGCCATACCAGCTTTGGAGGACTCGCCGCATGTGTTTTCATGATTGTCAGAGCGTTGCAGCCCGAACATGTCGACACAAGGAAGTCGCAGTGGGGCGTCCTCTGCACCTTCAAAAGTGTAGATGCGTCGAAGGGGAGAATCAGCTGGATGTGTGTTGGCAGACTGTCCAGAGGCGGGTAGCGTGTCCCTGTTCGAGTACTGGACTCCATGGGTGGCTGAGGCTGCGGCAGGCTCAGAGTATTCGGTCTCGTTCATCTCACCTTCAAACTCAGAATCAACATCAGAGCTGTCAATGCTTTCAGACTTGCTGTCGAGGTCACTCTCCATAGGTCCACCGTCGTCTTCTACACTAGCAGGACTAGGAGTGTGAGGCAAGACTGAACCGTCATTATTTGACGCGTAATCAGCTTCATGTAAGTCTTCACCTTCCTCGTCCTCATCATAGACATCCTCGACAATCGTAGTACGCAATATGGACTCGGGGTATACATCTGGTCCAAAGCGGCTTGTCTTGGCTGGCTGCCCCTGCAGCAGCATGTCTTCCATGCCTATGGTAGCGTCTGCCTGATCTGCAGCCTCTTCGGAGTCGTCTTCGATGACAAGTGGATCGGCGTGGCTGCCACGGCGGGGAACTTGTTCCACTTCTGCCTCCTCGTCCTCGCTCTCGGCGTCGGGGACAGTGAAACCAAGGGAGAAAGGGCGAACGAGTTGGGACTCGAAGACGTATCTGCGAGCTGGAAAGAATTCTGCGTAATATGTCAGCCTCGGGTGAGGGGGCAAGGCTGGGTGAGGGGGCATTGCAGACGTACCCTCGTTACGATTAACGTCGGTGCCAAACTGGAGTTCGTCGCCGTACGAGAGCTTGGTAGGTGTGTTTGGTGTTAGTTTCTCGCCGTTGACCATAGTGCCGTGCATGGAGCCTAGATCGCTGATGTAGACTTCAGGTACGCCGGTGGTGGAGTTGGCGGAGAGGACGGCGTGTTGGCGAGAGATGACTGGGCTGTCGATATATGCATTGTGTAGTGCGGCCATCAGCTCTCTCTTGGTAACACTGTTCGAGGCACGGCCAATAGCAAATGTTGAGTCCAAAGGCAGGTCGAATTGGCGAGTCTCGTATGTGTCGTACCGCATTACGTCCCGGAGGACGACATGGAAGACTGGATGGTCGGTGAGTCGGGAGCCGTGCATGACGGGCGATGCAATGGAATGCTCACTGGATGTCATAGGGATAGGTATGTGTCGTGGAGAACGACCGGGCAGTTGGGAGAGTAGGGAGCAGTTGCAAGGGAGAGGGGAGTGAGAGTGGTAAGGCAGAGTAGGCGGGGGCGCAGTTTGGCGGGGAGGGGGTGCTTGGTAGTACCAGCGATCAAGTGATGGTTGCGACAACAATGTGTATTGATTAGGTTTCTGAGACAAAGAGAATGTACGTTAAGAGGCTGTGTACGTGTAATATGGACAGCCGGCAAGTCGTCAATCGAGGCCGCCCTTTAGACACGACAAGG